TCAGTTGGTGCCAAACATGTTGAATGGGATTAAATATACAGTGAAGCCTTAAAACTGTATGCCCCAGATTTTTTGCATAATTATCACAGACGTATTCCTTTTGTAGGTTCAAGCTTTGTAGAACCTCAATTAATTGCTTTTTGGTATAATCTTCGTGAAAATAAATGTCGTTATTATACATGTAATTTTGGATTGTTGCTTTTGTGTCACATGAGGAAGGGGTTTTAGTCAACTGTCTACTGTGATAACTTGCATTGTCCATTACAATGACGCTATTAGGAGGAATGTTTGGAACTAGTTTGTATTTAAACCAACTTTCAAATAAATCAGCGGTGGTGTCTTAATGGCAATCCAGAGAAGAATCTTTAATATTTTTCGCAGACAGAGAAAGTCCATTTAGAATCCAACCATCTTTAGAGCCAGCATGCAAAATAGTTATTCTTTTACCTTTTTTTGATGGCGCATTTGTTTTACACTTATCAGTTGAGTCAACCCAACCCTTTTCCGGGGTGTCATAAGTGTCGAACCAGGTTTCATCGAAGTAAATAATTGGCCTTTGTTGTTCTCTGTAAATCCTATTTTTTTCTAGATATTCCAGTCGCCATTTCCGAATTCTAAAAGATTCCATTAAAACTTGCTTTTTGTCAATTTTTTTAAATCTAAAACCCATGTGTTGAATACACTTCCATAAGGTAGTTCTGCCACATTTAACACCGGCTTCATCTTTTTCAAGCCTCCTAATTAAGATATCTAATATAGGCACGCTTTGTTCCTCGTAGAACTGGTAAATTTTACGCCGTATTATATATTGATCATTTTCATCTCTAGGACACTCGAGAAAATGTCAGCATCGCTTCTTTTTTTCCTCGCTGAAATGGGATTATTGACAATTTTCCATACAGTTGATGTTGGAATTTTCGTCAATGTGGCCGTTTCTTGCAGGCACCACGTTCAATGAGAGTCAAATAAACATTGTTAATAACTTCCTTAGTCTCAATAGAATAGTGTTTTCTACATTTGGGCGAGAGCATCTCCTGAGATACGCTAGACTCGCACATATTTTGCATAATTCGCACACGATTCAACACACGCTTCATTACACACGAAATAAGAATGATAATAATGATAAACTTAAACTAAGTAGTATACCAAACCAAAGAATATTAAACACAGGTAGGTATAAAATTATTTTCTATTACGGACCACAATTTTACCTGAATTTAAATTCCGAAACTTTAATTAATAATCTTGTTGCATTTTATGTTAATGACCACCCTTGGATAATCCCATTAAAATGCAATTGGCCACTTTCTTATATCTATGAACAGACCATAACGCCTTGTATTCGGGCAAAGCATCATTCCACTTCGGGGTCACGCTTATTCATTTAGTTTTGAGGACCGAAATGTTCGGCGTGGACGATATAATTCAGCGCTGAATAGAGGCGGCGGCGATGGCGAGGGAGATAAATTAATTCTGACCGTCAAAAAACTACGAAAATGTAAAATTGTAATCCGCGCTTAGAGACCGGGAAAATCCATTAAAACTTTTAAATAGAAACGCGAAGATTGGCCCCCGGCGATTTTCACTATTTTTTCGACTTTAATTTTCGAGTACTTTCATTGCGGGGTTGGGGGATGTTATCCGAATAATAACTGAAGGCGTCTCCCACGCTTCTATGTCATAAAGTTGTGCGTTTTAATCTACCTTTAAACTTAACACGGATTCGAGGTGTTCCACTTATTTCACTGTTTCCGCATCTAGCCGTAGAATCGCAAGTTTCGTGCGCTCCCGTATAGTACAGAACATGCCGAGTCAACGATAGAGTAAATTTTGTTATGCACAATATAAAAATATTTCAACGTATACGGGGTGGCTCAAAAAACCATTTTAAAGTTCTTCAATTTTTTTTATTAACATATAGCGTTGCATAACTTCATTAGTCTTAGTAGAATAGTGTTTTCTACATTTTGGGCGGGAGCACCTCCTGGGATACACTAGACGAAATCTTGCACCTGCCATAGTGCGTTATGATAATCGAGGTCACCTCATGATTTTTTATGCTAATAAAGCCCGAAGGAGATGTAGAATCTGCCACAGCCACACAATTTACGTTTGTAATAAGTGTAATGTGCATTTACATACTTCATGCTTTGTAAAATATCACCAAAAATGAAACCGGGGGTTACCAGTGGTGCGCTCCCGCAGCATAAAATATTATGCGTTTTTTGTGTTTCGAGTTTTTATTATTATTTTTTTTGACACATGTAATGTATTCTTATGTGCAACAAAATAAATAATTTCACAGCAAAAAAGCATTTTTTTATGCTTGGGACAATATGGGTTAAACCCAACGTATTGAATAAAAATTAATAAACGATTAATAAAAGAATTTAATGAAGTGCCCTTTTAGGAATTGTAGAAGTTGAAGAACATTATCGACTGTTTTGGTTTTAACTTTTATCAATCCTTTTTCTTTTTACGATCGAGAAATATGAGTAAATCTGAAAATTTGGAAGTTGATACCCCGTAAAATCGCGGATTTCATAGCTAAATACGCATCGCTATTTTTCCATGTCAAAACTAACAAAACCAAGAGAGGAAATTCCACTCTTCTCTATTTGTTTGGACTTGAACAGCACTAAATTTCAAATAAAACCGCGGGTTTTACTTCCGTAACAAATCGGCTGTCAGACACGTCTCGGTCATAAATTTTATATACAAAATTGATCTCGACACTTGAACTATTTGAAACTATGCATATTTGAACGTGGCCGCAAGGTCAAGAATTCCGCCTATACATTTATCTAAGTTTAAAACATGAAGCTCGGCGAATTTACATATACACCTTACTTACATTGCAATTTATTTTTAATCGGAATTAAACTTATTGATAATTCATTGTCCGTCACTTTTACAGTAAAAATTAAACTATTTGTGAGTATGTTGCCAAAAAAACTAGACTGCAAATTTTAGTTAAGTTTGAAGTGGATCAACACCCATAATACAATGTGTCCCACATTCGCTTTTCTAGTGCACTTAGTGAATTTGAACACAGATTGGTAAAACGACGAAAAACCAGAAAAAAAAATCGTTTTTCGGTAGTAAGTACAAAACGGTTAAATTGACAGCTGTCAAAATGTGACATTATTTAGACACTTTTATAAGGCCATAACATGTCTCAAGCGTTTTGTTTTGTTATCTCGTAACCAGCCTTAACTTATTGTCGCCATATTGGATTTTTCGGTTTTGATTTATTTAACAATAACATCAATAAGTAACACATCAAAAAAAGCGTAAACATATTGAATCAATCAATCAATAAGAAATGGTATCGCCATCTACTTTTTAACCCTGTATATTCTATGTTTACTGCAAAAAATGCGTAAGAAAAAATTGAGGTACGTATGGGGGCATTTTTCTTGAAACTGAGATTTTTGTGACAAATCTCTGTTTTTAGCATTATATTTATTAAGGACCGTGTGTATTTAGTACTGAAACGCATAATATCTTTATGTCGAAGTTATTTGAGAGAAGATTCAAGGATCTGTGCGCACTATAGCCGACAATTTATAAGCCGTGTGATGATGGTACTTCCTTCCTGATATCAATGAGCTCTATTGTCTAACACATAACATCAAATGACAAGAAAATTAATTCGCTAAGTACAGATAACAGGTCAAATGAAAGTTCCGACGAGAGTGCACCAATAAACAACATAAAAACCCAAACAAATGCAACCATATGAAGAACTAGATATCTATAACAAACCAATAATTTAAAACCAAAATTTAAACCAAAAAAAGAAATAACAGTGTCTACAATAATCACATGAAACGTAAATATCTATTTTTTAATGCCAAAGTAAACTGAGTCGGTGTTTGATCATTGACATCTATATCATTACAAATACAATTAAAAATATCCATTGCTTGAAAGAGTGGACTTCTAACCAAAAAGTTTGTTGAAAGTTGGCAGGTGGAATATTCAGCGCACTCTCTAAGAGATAATCGGACCGATTTTTCTTAGACCTTCCAATTCGCGAATTCAATAACCTGGTGTGACAACAAGCCGGGGGACCGCCCCAGAATACAGAGCCAGTTACTGAATACCTAATTGACAGATATGATCATTGGATAGGTGGATGGGCAGACATTGCACAATTCAGTGGCTGGTTAAAGTCCGGATTTAAACCCTCTTGATATTTTCCTATGGGGATTTTCATGCTCAATAGACATCATGAGAGATAATATTAGAAAATGTTTGGGAAATCATGGTGGATATACAGAAAACACATAACCATTTACTTCACATTATATTTTCAATATTGTTATCGGTTTTATTATCGTTTATTCTTGTGGATGGTAGATTCTTTACAATTTTTAGTACTATTGGTTGATTAATACTTATTGAGATGAAAAGGACGAAGCTTTTGTTACTCTGAGTAACCCATTTTCCTCAGTGAAGGTGTCAATTACTCAACGCCTGGTCAACTTGATGAACATCTGTTAACTTAATAATTCAAGAACGACCTCTCCAAATATGAACAAACTATACATTGTTGAAATCAGTAGAAAAAGATCTTTCGTCATAATGGGTGTCCCGGTTGAAAATAAAAAAAAATCTCCTGTTTCTCAACTTTGCGATGCGCATTTGTTTTCTTTTACAAGTCTAATAGATACTGCAAAAATTATACCACTTTTGTATTAAAAAATTAGCTCGGCGACTTCCGTTAACCCCTGCATGTGGATGAGTGAATACAAAAGATAACCGGAAAGTTTTTACATGAAATAGCGTATTTAAATATAGTCTTTGGTAAGCATGTATGTTAAGATACTTATAAAATAATGTAAATTTGCCCTTATCTTGATCAGCACGTAGTTGTTAGAGTTACCGGGATCGTCTATAGCAACATCTCAACCAGTACACGTCTTCAAAATATTCTTTTTTTCCCAAGTTATTACGAAAATTACTAGTCCGCCTCCTCATCGCATACTTACACATGACCACCATCAATTCAAAATTTAATCCGGCACATCGTCGCACATAAATTCAAACAATCGTCCGGTCGGCAGAGCGGCCCGAATTTTTTGAAAATTCCATTCCCCGAAAACGGACTTTTTATATTCCCGGACTTTTACCGAGAGCGAAGCATTTCGGTTAACCGCGATACGGTAGGATACTTTTCGATTAAAATTCTACGATCGCCGAGCGTCTCGTGTGGGTGAAATTTCTACCCCGCTCGAGTTGCGCCCCTAAAGGTCAGTAAAACACTAACGAGCCACTGGGAAACGCGACAAAAGTTTTGAATCCCAACGCAAGCGCTGCTAGCCTAGCTCTATCTACAGAAGCGGCAGAGCTTCGCTACATAATTATTAATAAAACAGTTGCTAAAAGGTTAAACTACTATTTGCATCGAAATGCCGTCTGTGTCGATTAAAAATTAATGCCGGAGATTTGGTCCCATGACCATAAATGTTGATAGAATTTTACTTAAAACGCGAAACTGAACCTCGAGCTGAACATTTTTGAACATTCGCCGTATCTTCCTTAACATTTTGATTTTGCAGAGATTGATTTCGTTGATTTTTTTTTCCAAAAATTTACATTGTTTTAACTCTTTAGCAATGCAGGTAAATTATTTATATTTTTATAATATATACTTGAGTGCATCGAAATCGGCCCACTATAAACTGCGTTTTTTTTTAGAAACTATATGGGCTTAAATTTGTCAAGAGTGCTGATCTTTTATATGCGCACCAAAGGGTAACCAAATGAAATGTGCGTATGTGGTAGTTGGAACGAAAGCAATCACCTTCTCAAAGACTTACGCTTACGTTTTGCACGAGATCTTCTGCATTGGACATTGTTGTTCTGTTTTCAGATGAGATGATAAGATGTGGTAGCGACCGACGAAGAAAAGTATACCGAACACCAGGAGAGCGATTTGCAGAAAGGAGTGCTTGTGGAGATGGTTCCTGCATGATCTGGGGTACAATTTCTATGGACGCACGAACCGACTCTGTTTTCATCCGTAGGGGCGACCAGGGTCAGGGGAGAATAGGTTTGACGGGTGCCAAGTACATCGAGGAGATTTTAGCAGCTCTTGTGGTTCCTTATGTCGACTACATTGGAGAAGAATTGATTTGTATGCATGACAATGCTAAATCGCACCCAGTAACAATCGTGCAACATTCCATTACAGAAGTCGGTTTTCGACTTATGGAGTGGACAGCATGTAGTCCCGACCTCAATCCGATCAAACATTTATGGTATAAGCTGAAACGAAGAATTCGAGCTACAACTCGTACCCCAACATCGATCCCAGATCTTATTGTTGCAGTAGAGAAACAGTGATTTAACATTCCACAAGAAACAATAGCGGACCTGATTAGATCTATGCCTAATCGTGTAAGAGATGTTATTAGGACAAGAGGGGGTCATGAGTAAGTGTTAAATTGTTAATTGTCATGAAGCCTATTTCTTTTACTAATAAAAAAAGTTAATTTGCCTTATGCCGTTATTTCACTTCTGAAATCTAAGAAGAGGAAATAAAATTTATTCAAACCAAAATCTTATTAAAGCATAATAAATTATCCTTCAAACGGCATATTTCTTTTTTTTTTGATCAGCTGAATCGTCTCTGGACAAAATGTAATTAAAGTTAAAAGCTCGCAATGGGCCGATTTCTATCCACGCAAGTGTTAGTGTTTGTATTTTCGTGAACAATTCTTTCTTTTTCTTTAAGTGCCTTCTTCGTTGCGAAGGTTGGCAATCATCAGTGCTATTCTTATTCGTGACACAGCCGACCGAAATAGTTGGTTTGTGGTGCACCCGAACCAGTCACGTAAGTTTCTCATCCATGAGTGACGCCTTCTTCCTACATTTCTCTTTCCTTGAATTTTTCCTTGTAATATCAGTTGGAGTAGTTGGTACTTTTCTCCTTTCATGACGTGTCCAAGGTACTGAAGTTTACGCTTTTTTACCGTAATGATAATTTCTTTTTCCTTTTTTATTCTTTTCAGGATTTCCATGTTGGTCACTTTATCGGTCCATTTTACCTTAAGTATTCTACGGTACAACCACAGTTCGAACGCCTCCAGTTTCCTTATATCCAGTTTCTTCAGAGTCCAATCCTCTACACCATAGTACAGTACCGACAAAACATAGCATCGCACCATTCTGATTTTAAAATCCAAGCTGAGATCGCTGACACAGAGCACTCTTTTCATTTTCACAAATGTTGTTCTCGCCTGTCCTATTCTAGTTTTGATTTCTTCAGAGCAGCCATTTTTATTTACAATTGTACCTAAGTATTTATAACTGTCAACTTTTTTGAACAATTGAACAATTAACAGCTCTTACTTACAATTTTTGAACTTCTAGGGAATTTTCTTGGCATATTTCATATACAGAGTGATTCACGTTGAATGGCCTATAAAAAATTTTAAAACTACAAAGAGGGAACTGGTTCAAACTTGATGAACGGCCGTAACAAGTGGTAAACTGTACTTTTTAAATATTTTCGCTCTAGTTTTCGAGATATTGACAGTTGAAAAGTATCCATTTTCCAACTATGACAGGCAATAAAATTTAAACAGCTCAAATTACAGCAAAACGGTTTGAACATTTTAGTTTTTCATAGGCTAACAAATTCAATGATGGAATGCCGATATTGAAAACCGCTGTCAAAATTGACAGCTCCTCTCAGATATTTTAAATCGAGTCATTAGACACCTTATATAATACTTAAATGACTAATTACCAACTCAAAGGCAAGATCAATTTAGAGTCTGACCATTTAGAACGGTAGATAATTAAGAGATTTTGACATAGCATTTGGATTATTGTCAAAATTCACAGCTTACTAAAAAATCAAACTATTATAACAACATCTGAGGACAAAAAAATGTTTTGAATAATTTATGTCAAAGGAGATTTCTGTCAAGAGATTTCTTTTAAACCGTCGCTTTATATAGATTTTTTATTTTTTTTTTGTATAAAAATTTTACCTTGTAACACCGTCTTTTTACATACATTTTTGATTTTTTAAAAATTTCTTCTGCTGCTAAGATATTCACTTCCACTTTTTTCTCATATTATTTTAATAAAAAAAAAATCTAATAATTATTTAATTAATTTTATAAAACATTACCGACATCGGAACACCGATTATTACATACATTTTTGATTACAAAAACATCTTCTGCTTTTAAGCTTTCTAATCTTTGTAACAGCGTTTTTTACATATATTTTTGATTTTTTAGTAATTCGTCTTCTCTTTCTTGTCATAATAATAATTATAATAATATTATATTTCTTATCAAACATATCTGGAATTCAATCAGTGTGTTATGGATTTCGTCTAGTAAGTCAAGTAAATAAGTAACAAATGAGATAAAAAATTACATATTTTCATAAAATTCATTCATTTATAAAATTCATAGAATAAAAACACATGACGGCACAACACTACGGTGATGACAAGCATTAACAGGTAAAATATTCGTTTTAGTTTGGATTTAAACATGTTGATACTACTAATGTATATGTAATCTCAAATAGATGTGAGCCTACTAGAAACTTATTATGCATTTCTGATTCAAACCTGTTTTTATTTTTTTAATTTTTAAACAATAACAACGCAGCTTTGAAGAAAGTAATTGACAGTGAGTTGTCCAATATCCGATTTCGTTGAGTTTTAGTCCTAAACATTTTTGCTTGTTTTTTGGTACATTCCAAAAGAGTTCGATGGTGTCAAGTGTTTAATTAATCCTACCTTCAAGAGTTTGATTACACGAGATTAAACTTGAACAGTCGTCAGCGAACGAAAACTAGGTAGGTGAGGAGAAAGCTCATTGAAAGCACATTCTTTATACACGCCTAAAACTTAAAAACCACAATTTCATTACTTGAATTAATTTAGCTATAATGTGCTATATTAGTCTAAAAATTTTTGAATTCATTTTGAAATACTTCATCTTTTTTCTTAATAATACAAACCTAAACCAAATAGTTTTTCCGATATTTTATTTTTTGTAAAAAAATACTAGTTTTTACACTTGCAAAAACATTACGATAGCGACGAGCTTATTTCTCACGAGCGGTGCGAGTGCTTAATAAATGAGTGACTTAAAAGTTTTGGCAAACGTGTTGCATACTATACTTTTTCTACGACCGTTAGTTTTTGGGTACATTTTTGCAAACTACACAAATACATTCACTGACATGACGGTATATAATATATAAATTCATTGTGGTGAATTTATGGAAATGGGTGAGATGGAAAACAATGCTTTGTCGGCAGTAAAATGCGAAGTACCCCAATAGACGTATACCAGCTAGACAATTTCTTCAGTGGTTAATGGAATGGTTTAATGCTAGTGGTAGTATGGAAAGCGAAAAACGCAAAGTGATAAACCGGAATGAGAAAAAAGAATTGCAAATTTTAATTTGGTTAAAGTTATTGGACCACTTTTTTTTTGAGACATTTTGTAGATTAATTTACCTCAGCTTCTTCAAGAAGTTAACAACATTCAGATCCAACGAATGTGCTTTCAACAAGATGAACTTTATCCGCATTACCATAGAGAAATTCGAGAATTTTTAAATAATCATTACCCACAGAAATTGATCGGTAGAGGTGGATTCATCAGACGGCGCCCTCGACCATGTGACGTAACACCCCTAGATTTCTTATTCTTTTTTACAATTTAACTAATCAAAACATAACATTTTATTTATGTTTGTAAATATTTTGATATTGATTTGTTGAAAAATTATTAGTTGAATCACTTTAAAAAACAAATTCCATCTGATATTTATAGTGACATACAGGATCGTTCCATCAGATCTAAGAATGTAATCTTGTACAATATACCGGAGAGTGCGGCTGATGCCACAGTGGTCCCGTCTTATGAGACATGCGGTCATGAAATTTCATATTTGAACTTTTCCAAGACAAATACATATTTTTAAACAATAATATAAATAAAAAAAACATTTATTTCTAAAAAGTAAAATTTTATTAACAGCAGGAAACATACCATAAAAAAAATCACATTATTTTAATAAAACACATAAAAGTGAAAACTAAACTAATATGGTACAATTAAGTCTAAAGAATCATTATAAATTGTTCCTGAACCCTCAGTGTGGCTATGTCTATGGCTAATTACTACCGAATTGAAATTAAATAGAATTTATAATTTTATAATGTGTTTTGTAATGAAACTGAAAGACTCATTACAAATAATCATTTATGGCTGCTAATTTCAGAAGTAAAATTCACTATAAAAAGATCTTTTATATCATTAAAAAGAGGGGTACGGGATTATCGTTTTATAATAAGTTGTTTTGTTGCTTGATTTAACTGTTATTATATTACAATAAATCAAAAACATCGGCTAATAAATTGGTCTTACTGCTTTTAGGTAATGTCTTACACTTGAAATAAAAGAGTCGGAATTTAAAAGCAATCGATGAAGATCTGTGTTTGTAAGAATACTAGACATTTTTCTTCTATTTTCACGTCTAAATAACTTAAGATTTTTATTTGAAGATTCTGCAGCCTCTTCCGAAACTTCCCCTATCGGTAGAAGTGCATTTTCAATAACTTTAGACCATGCACAGAGGCAGGATAATTTTTTACGAGGTGTTTTGCTGTTTCTACAGCGTAATTCTGATAGTTTTTAAGCAAGTATTAAAAAGGTACATCCTCGTGAAGGTGCATTTGACTATTTGAATTGCAACAAAAGAAAAAATAATAATACAACGTTTTTTTTGTGTACATTTTTTATGTAAGCAATAGAGGCCGCCACTAACATTAAAGACTTCGATTGTAAACTAAGTTTTGTGACACATTTTGCGGATGTGGTGGTCTATACGAGTCCTTGGGTTTGTTGTACGCAATAGTGAAAAATTTACTCCACATTGCTTTAAACTCCTTTATATCTCTTTTGTTCACTCAAGATTGGAGTATGCATCTGCTGTATGATTTCCATATTATGCCTGCCATATAGGTAACATCGAAACCGTTCAGAAAGTATTTTTAAGATCTTTGGCTTCAAAGGCGCATATCAATATCTATAATGGGTATCAGATCAACTACAGTATTATAACTGAGGCCTTCAACATTGATACTCTTCAAAGCAGAGGATTTCAGAGGGATGTAGTTCTTTTCTTTAAGATTTAAGATAAGATTCACCCCTTACTAGAATGCTGAAAGGGTGCAACTCTTTAAAGTTTGATCCTTTTGTCGGCAGCCTCCGCTCATTTCGTTCTGATGCGTTCTGTTTGAGTGCTACCACTTAATTATATTTATTGTTATTGTTATACTTTGTTCTGGTTCCAGGTTGTCTTTTTCTCTCTTTGGCTTTAATGATTGTAACAGTGTTGTAAATTGATGAAATAAAAACAGTAAGGTTTTTCTTTTTTTCTATATTTAATGAATTGTGTATTTGTTTTAACCGCAATTATATTTAAAACAATGACTACATAATTCACGTTGGAACTGCTAAACATTTACTTGTTCCTTCTAACATTTTAAAAAGAAAAAAGGGTCTTTACCAACCAATAGAACAAAGGGATAGCCATTAGCGTCTCCGTGATCCTTCTCTGTCCTTTTAAGAGTAGATCATTTTTCAAATGGGTGGCGATAAGCAAACATTCATTTTATTACCAAAACCTAAGTAACAGCAATTCGATGTATTTTATTCCTGTTTCTAATGCGTGATCTTTCTTCTGTATGTTTTTTATCCCCTCGTGATTAAATTAATATCCCGTCATTTGTAATGGATCACGCAATAGGAATCAAAGCGATTGAGCAAGTCTGAAAAACTGCTCACCTTGATTCCGATAATAATTTTGATTTTATTAAGTTGTTTTTATGATTATATGTCGGATGGAGAAATTTTTTTGGAAGTTAGTTTTCCTTGGAAAATTAAAATTAAATTTTCAGTTAAAATAGACCAAAAGAAAGTTCAATTTCCGTAAATCAAGCACATAGATACGGCACAAAAATAAATGTACATTTAAATTAATGGTGGCGTCCTCTACTGCACTCTTATCGAATCAAAGCTTGCTATGCTGTGGGAAAGTAGATACCGACGACCGATCCGTGGTCTGCGAAAAGCAATTCGCAAATGTCAAGGGTTTGACTAACGTCAGAATCAGTTGGTGAAATGTCACGGAAGTAGCGAAAAGTTGATCAGTTTTGGCCGTTCGCACCAAAATAATCGTGTGAAAACCGTGCGTTTCAACCGCGAACGTATTCTAGTCAACCATTGGATTCCCGAGCTCAGGCATGTACGGCTGTAAATACTTCAAGGACGAGAAAATTACCAGGAAATCAATGATCCGAACGTTTCTGAGAATCTAGCTGAAGGGGTTGATTTAAAATTCCTCTAGGAATGACTGTAACCATTCCCAGTATGCCTGCCGTGAGGAAATACAGAAGGGACACGACTGAAGTCAGTAGCTGCCTCAAGTACATGATATTCGGATTCAATGTTCTATTTTGGGTCAGTAGATCAAGGGGTTTTTACAAAGTGAAGAACTCATTTTTTTTATAGTTGTTGGGGCTGTGCATTCTGACTGTCGGCGTTTGGGCATGGTCGGAAAAAGATATTTTTAATAATCTAGGCAAAGTCGCCAATGTAGCGCTAGATCCAGCTTTTATTTTAATCTGTGTCGGTGAGTTCCTTTAATGGAGAACAGTAGGGAGTTGTTTAACATATTGTCAATTTTAGGAACCCTTACGTTCATAATCGGTTTTACAGGCTGTGTGGGTGCTCTAAGAGAGAATACATGTCTGCTGGCTACGGTAACTTGCAAAATAATATAGCTTGTTTATAATTTAAAGTTTGTAATATTTCAGTACGCTCTATTTTTGTCAGTGCTGCTATTATTTGAAATGACCGCTGGAATATTGGGCTTCATATTTAAAGACTGGGTGAGTCACCTTTTATTCATTTAGTTGGTAACCCGATTCTTAGAATTTGTCCAGGTAAAGTAGGTCAAATAAATAAGTGTTTAAAATTTGACTTGCGCAACTATTAACTGTAAAGGTGACTGGTGTTTTTTCGTATTAAGATTAAATTAGGCTAAATTTTATAATTTACAGCTGATCTTTTAATCTTAAATTTATGTGAAAGTTATCAATTTTATAAAAGCTTATAGGCAATACAATTTTCCATTTTTGCGATCATTTTACCTGAAAGTGATAGAGATAGTGAAAAGAATAATGAAAATATTGAACTTTTACAGCAACACATTGAAAGCAAATATCAATAGAGACGAACCCCAAAATGCGCCTTTGGTGGTGAATGATTGCTCGAGATTCATTATCATTTTCACTATCGCCATCATTTGGTTGCAGAATCTCTCCTGTGTTGTTGGTTGTTCTGCTTAAGTATGTAGAAGTTTTAAAGTGTGAGCACTGCACTATGTTTATTGAACCGTCATGTATTTAAACGTTTAAGCTTCGTATATTGCATAAGAAAGTTTTAAAACAAAATATGGTACAAAACCCTGAATATTTTTAGGACTTACCACCAGGCTTGTGTTCCTTAATTGTATGCTCTGGATGATTGATTTATTGCCTGCTCTTCTATAATCACCAAAAACTATCGCAAAATACATCATTATGCCTTAAAAAAATTAAATGTTTTATACACAAACACATTTGGCCCGCCATTTTTAAAAACTGAATACACAATTGGTCAGTTCTGGTACGCTTATCTTTGCTCTGTGCCGAATTTCAGGGAACTGTATTATGGATTTCAGTATTTTTGTGGATTTAAACTATAAATTTTCAAAATATTACATTTAGATGTAGAAATAAGGTATGCAATGTGGAAGTAACAAAATAGCTAATGTGCAATGTGGCTAAGACAGAAGTACTTTTAATGGTCAGTGACAATTAATTTTACAACAAAAAAAAAACTTCTTTTTCTCAGCAAACCTAAAATTGGTTACACTTCAGCTGAGTTGCCAAGTTGAACTGTGGAATCTCATGTGAACAAAATTACTTGCTATTTTAAGTATTTGTTGACAGGAAATTGTTTAATTTGACAGAATGTCCCAGGGGTTTTTGCAAATTTTTAATTATGTTGACTCACATTGCAAGGAAGATGTAAAGTGAGATGCTCTGTGTCCGTAAAATATATAACTTTCTGTGGACTATCACGTGTGACTCCTTTGTGTTTGTGTAGCTAAAGGCCCAAGCGACGATCGGATTCCAGACGTTCATAATCCACTATAGAGAGGACCCTGATCAACAGAATTTGATTGACTGGATTCAAGAAGACTGGGTACGTTGTTGAATGTAGAAAGCAATTTATTGGTTGAGTTATGCTATTTGATTTGCAGTTACAGTGCTGCGGCATTGAGGGCCCTAAAGATTGGGACCAAAACAACTACTTTAATTGTTCGTCTAGGGACGTCGGAAGCAGGGAGGCTTGCGGAGTTCCCTTTTCCTGCTGTAAGAGGAAACCGAATGTAAGTGTATCAGTGAAATCTTAACATATTTCTAAAGTTTTGTTATAATTTTTGCGAGTTCACCCCCCCCCCCCCCACACCGGCAGTGAATTTTCTCATTCCAGCTGTGGCAGTTTTAGAGAAATTTAACCGTTCCGGTATTTTTTACTATCCCGGTATAATATTAATTTTGTTGTTTCATTGCAGGAGATTATTAAAAACAAGCAGTGCGGATATGACGTTAGGAAACCCGGATTCGTAAGTACAAATTGGATATTACTTTTTCGGTTGATGTTTAAAAAAATATTAAAAAATGATACTCAGTTAATTGCCCCTAGGGAGATTCATGGTTTAGATGTTTATTGGAGATGAAAGAAAAATTTTAATGTTCATTTGGTACCTGACTGTAAAGCTATAAAATTCTAAATGAATCTTTACTTTTACTAGAAAGGCAAAGTTGACAAGATGAATTTTAAGAATTCCCTTACTATTAGGCATGGTGAAACTGGAAGCAACTAAATATCTTGTTTTCGACAATGCAATTCGTTTTTTAAAAAGGTGTCAAAAAAAAATCGTCAACCGTGAATCACCTTGTATAACTTTCGGACAAAAACTGTGTAGGTGGTGCGAAAAAGTATGTTTCTGCAAATTATGGCACCATTTACATAATTATAATGTTTTTTAATAGTATATTTTATCATTTGGCAAAGAATTAGTTTTGTAAAGATTAATATTTTAAAATTAAAAAATAAATAAATAAATAAATACGGGAAATTCTATTACGCAATGGAAAAATCTTCCGCAAAAATACTCCAGTAATCTGATTCAACGATACTGAATAGGTTCTGCTGATTATTTAACATTATGATGCATTCTAATACGCCGATGCAAGCCATCCCATATGTGGTCGATGGGGTTCAGATGTGGCAATTGGGATGGTCATTCTTACTAAACCATTCTTTTACTAACTTGGATGCGTGTTTCCGACAATTCGCTCTTGCTATGGCATCTCTTCTTCCACAAACAATTGCAATGTATTTTCCATTATCCCTATGTAATCGCTCCATTTTACTCTATGTTTCAATCATTAGCCCCGTCAAAGATCGAGAAAAACATACCCAGACATTGTGTTCCCTCCTCCATGTTGACATGACATGACAGTAGGGATTTCTAGTTTTGATATTCTTGAAACAATTTTATCAGTCCTGGAAGTAGTTTTATTTATTTATTTGTTATTATTAATTCAACTTGCAGGACTAACACTCAATAACAAGTTGAAATAGCTTTCAAATTAACTTAAAAGTTAATACTACTTATTACCAACATTCCAGAATAAATGTTAATTAATATTAATTAATTAAATAGAAATAATTTTTGCAAACAATGTTTTGAATTAGACAATTTATCTATTTTACTTTGGTATTTACAATAAGGTGTAACCAACACACATACATTCCAAAAAAGCAAACGTCGAAAAACTTTCCAGGGACATTCCAACAATGACAATTGTAAAATTAGTCATCTAGAAACCAGCCCTAGAATATTTTGGGAAGTTCCCAAGGCAGTTGAGTGCCTGGGGAATTTCTTTTGCATTTTTTTACCATAACAGCTTTTTCCAAGCAAGTTAGTTAATATGTCGACAAATGTATTGTTTTCGAACATTTTTAAGAGACGATTAACAAGTTAAAATTTGGATACCGAAAACAAATAGTATCTAGTGCTGATCTCATATCAACTTAAAAAGACCCTGGAAAAAACTGCCCCATAAACCTGAAACAAAAATGCTAATTATAGAAGTTTGCATTCATTTATTTTAATAAAAAAAGAATATAAATATCTTGAAAAATTTAATACAAAAGCATATTTTTTGAGAATTAAAAATAAATTTGATGTTTTTGTGGACGATCGTCTTTTCGTTCCTCTAGCTTGCTTCATGTATTGATAAAATTAATGTTATTTAAAGTTATAGTTATTTCCAACCACAATTCTCTTACAAAAAGACAACAAACATTCCTTTACGTGGTGCCCCTTAATGTAGAGAATTCAAAAAAATCTTCGAGCATTGATAATATAAACAATATTAAAATTTTCCAGACTTATTTCCATCCACAAATTCCTTATCGCAAAAAAAAAACGCAACACATTTCTTTACATTTATTAGATGTGATCAAAAGTAGCATCTCTTAATATATGGAAATTAAAAAAGCTCTAGCTTACTTAAAGCATTGATAGTATAAATTTCAATGAAAGTTTACATTTGTTACATACACCCTTTACATTTGCTAAATGCGATCAAAAAGTATATCAGCAACGTCTGTTAATGTATGGAAATTAAAAAAACTCTAACTCACTTCAAACATTGATAATATATTATTAAAACTGTTTAAGGTTTTTTCCAAACCCCTTATCGCAAAAAAAAACAACTAAACTAACTAAAAAAACTAACATTCCTTTACATTTGGTCTCTTAATATATAGAAATGAGAAAAAGCTCTAGAATATTTCAAACGTTGATAACTTTAGTTTGTTTCAAATATTGATAATATATTATTAAGTTTCCCTACTTATTTCCAACCACAATTCACTTATCGCAAAATGAAAACAACAAACATTCTTTTACATTTAATAAATGTGATAAAAAAGCAATATCAGTGGCGTGTCTTAACTAAAAAAAGATTTTTACCATATTTCAATTATTGATAATATAAGCATTATTGAAAGTTTATATATACTTTTTCCCGATCACAAAAGAAATAAAAATCTTTTTACATTTGAGTAAGATTACGTCAAGTGGACCCCCCATTTACCACTTCATCATAAAAATTTAATTTAATTATATATATATATATATATATATATATATATATATATATATATATATATATATATATATATATATATATATATATATATATATATATATATATATATATATATATATATATATATATATATATATATATATATATATATATATATATATATATATATATATATATATATATATATATATATATATATATATATATATATATATATATATATATATATATATATATATATATATATATATATATATATATATATATATATATATATATATATATATATATATATATATATATATATATATATATATATATATATATATATGATATGATATTTATGATGAAGTGGTAAATGGGGGTCCACTTGACGTGATCTTACTCATTTGTTAAACGTTATAAAAAAGTGTATCGGTATCGTCTCTTAATGTCTGGAAATTAAAAAAAAAACTCTACCTTACTTCAAGCATTGGTAATGTAAAGAATACTCGAGGTATTCATGGTTACATAACAAACATTCTTCTAAATTTCGTAAATGTGATAAAAAGCGATATCAGCATTGATAATATTAACACACACAAATCCCTTATGGCAAAAAATAACATAACACACATTTCTTTACATTCCTTGAATGTGACAAAAAGCGATATCAGTGGCGCCTCTTAATATATGGAAATTAAAAAAGCTCTGGCTTACGTCAAGCATTGATAAGATACGTTGCCATACTTTTTTCCGCCACGTAATAAGTGTTTTAACGCAGCCAGGTGAGAGGCACATATTTGAAAGGGGCTGCCTTCGGGCAGGCGAGGAGTGGATCGAGAGCAACTTGGTGCCAGTGGCGGCCGTTAAAGTGGGAATCATGATCCTACAGGTACAGGCCCGCTTTTTGCGATGGCCACGTAGTATTTTCGAATGCCGCTTGAATCGTTACGCCACTGCAGTATTATGCAAATTTCGAATTCGTTGTGCGCCGCATGATTTACAGTGTTACGCCACTGTCGTGTATTGCCAACCTATGGATTTTATTGTCGCTAGATGTTGGTAGCATGTTGTTTTAAGAACGAATCAACTTTAAGTTTTAGTTAACACGTTCGTCCGTTCACTCTTCATTTTAATGTCCTCGTTTAAATTGTACGCATTTGTAGTGACGTCATTTTTGTTTATCCTTGTTTAATATGTTCCAAATGGCGGTGGCAGTAAAGGGTACAAAAAATGGACGTCGGATTGTTAGTCATTTTTTATACAGGACGTCCCGAAATTAGTGGGCTTAAACATAACAGCACATTCTGCTACTAAAATAAGCCTCTCTATGCCCTAAAAGGAATGGCCCTGAAAATGACTTTTTATTAATGTTTTCCAAACCTAAACTTAGATTAACTTTTGAAGGTTTTAGGTAAAAAAAACTGAAATTCCTTTTTGTGGGTTGACTTTTTTAGTTTAGTTTAGATTTATTAATTTTGAATTGATGGCTCAGTAGTAGATTATTTTTATGAATAATAAATTCATATTAACCAGTAAATTTAATTCGGAATGGCTAATAATTAATTAAATTCTCAAAGAGTTTAATTATTAAAAGAAAGTTCCACAGGCTACTGTAATACTTTTTACAAAACTTCTGGATTCCTCCTGCGTCGGTTTTTGCTCAGTCGAACTTGCTGACGTTTCGCCATCCTCCTGCGTCGGTTTTTGCTCAGTCGAACTTGCTGACGTTTCGCCAATCATCCTGTTGGCTTCTTCAGTGCTTGACTGAAACTGATTCGCATTTTTCTCTGTACCTGTTGGTAGAAGAATTGATTACATGTTAGAACATCGTCTAAACAAGTCAACCCGCAAAAAGCAATTTCAGCTTCATTGAACAATTAACATTAGATTCACACGATATTCTAGTTAGTTTCGTGGATCGTAGAATCCCTATTTACCAAAGTTCGTATTCCTAAAACTCTCAACATCATTGCAGATATATTAAAATCCGAAAATCTGGAACCAAACCTCACCTTCGTCGAAAAATGCTTGTCTCGAACATATTTTTCTTATAACGGTCAAATTTTTGAACAAATGTCGGGAACAGCTATGGGTTCTCCACTATCACCAATCATCGCAAATATATTTATGGCAGCCTTTGAGAAGAAAGCTCTCGACACCTTGCATCTAAAACCAAAATTATGGCTACGTAGATGATACTTTTGTTATTTGGCCTCATGATCAACAAACTCTAGTAGATTTTCTTAGACATTTAAACTCTATACACTCTAACATACGTTTTACCATTGAGTTGGAAACTAATAACAACTTCCCAGTCTTAGATATTCTTATCAATGTAAAATCAGACCTAATATTGGGTCATTGTGTTTACATAAAACCTACGCATACAGATCGATACCTTAATGCATGGTCATATCACCCTCCGGCCCAAAAATCATCAGTTATCAACTCTCTTGTGTACAGAGCAGTAAACCCGAGTCACTGAACCTAGAATTAAAACACTTTACCTCTTCCATCAAAAAACACACTTCACCACAACCTTCCAATAGCAATGAGTCCGAAAGCAATCCTTCACTTTCCACTGTGGTCCTTCCTCACATTCAAAATATCACTGGCGACATATCAAAAGTTCTAAAGAAGTATCAAAACCGGATTTACCACTTGTCCAAAAATCTCTCAACATCTTCGTTTCATCAAAGACAAAATTCCATTTAAGATGCCAGGAGTATACAGCATTCCATGCAAATGCGGCAAAGAATAAATTGGAGAGACCGGACGAAAAATATCAACTAGACTCAAAGAACACGAAAGAGCCTTACGACTATGACAAATAAACTTATCAGCTGTTACCGAACGCAATCACGAAATCGCACATAAAATTTTATTGGATAAAATTCTTGCATGTAATCAATTCTTCTACCAACAAAAATCCGAGAGTCTATAGAAATCTATAAACAACCTAACAATCCTAACCGCGACTCTGGTCTCTACCTGTCACCAATATGGGAATCAGTCATTCGAGACGGTGTTTATGCCCCTCATTTAGGTTTGCCCTCCTCAAACAGTATATAAACAGGTACAGAGTAAAATGCGAGCCGGTTTTGTAAAAAGTACAGTGTAATTATTCTTAACACATATTCCCGATCTTATTTCAATATTTTGAGGTGCACGAAAAGTCACGTAGCGACTGTTCCTAATTTATTAGCTCTGGATTATCCACTTCTGTGGCACAGGTAATTCTAGTGGGTTTAAGTCAGGCTACCGAGTTGACCAGTTAACTGGACCACCGCCATTCATCCATTTGTTTGCGAAATTTTCATCTAACCAGTTTCTGACACCCTGTCCAAAGTTTCTCTCTTGTTGTTTACAAAGCCATAAAACTATCTCATCCCAAGTCACTGAACCCAGAACTAAAACATATTACATCTGCTCTTCTCTCCAATAATTTCAACATCAAAGATATTACACCAGATACACTTCACTACAACCTTCCATCCATCCTTACATTCAAAGCATCACTGACCACATATCAAAAGTACTTCAGAAATATAACGTTACAACCAGCATCACTACTTGTCCAAAAATCTCTCAACATCTTCGACCCGTCAAAGACAATTTTCCGTTTGAGATACCAGGAGTTTACAACATTCCTTGCATATGCGACACAGAATACACAGGACAAAGGCTGAAAGAACATGAAATTGCTTTTAGACTACGACAAATAAACTCATCAGCAGTTGCCAAATAGAATCATTCGATAAAGCTAAAATTCTTCTACCAAAGAAAACTACGACAATCTCTAAGCAACTGAACAATCTGATCTGCGACACAGGCCTTTACCTTTCACTAATATGGGAATCAGTTTTCCTACATAATTCCCCCCAGAAGATTTGTAAATAGTATAACACTAGCCAGCGCAAGTTTCTTTTCTTCCTTCTTTCATCTAGATTTTTGTTTTTATTAGTGTATTGTGGTTAATAATGACTGGGCCTTTTTTAACTGCTTAAAATAGAACGGAAAGCTTGTAAAAAAGAAACAATTTTACAGGAATTCCGAAGAAATTATACATAAGAGAGGATTTGCGGTGTACCCCTTTAGCATTTAATCAACTTGGCAAAATAAAGGACTTTAAAATATGATGCTGATTCTTCGAATAACCCTCGGATTCTCATTAGTCCAGAAACGCTCACTGTGAGTGTTAAAAGCTTTTATCTCTCAGACTATAAAATTTTGTCCAAAACGATTTAGAAAGTCTTCTGGTCTCAATTTCTGTACTTTTGGATAAAGGTAACGATGTCCTTGGCTTTGGGTCATTCTACCAATCTACCAATCTTTTATATACCCATAAAACTGACAAATAACCGTGAAATTTAAATTTGTTCTTTTTATAGGAGAGAGCGAAACTTCATATCGACCTGCTTAGAAATTGTTTTGGGAATATTGATATCTGCCGTAAATAGGAAAGAAAAACTCAGCGACAGTGTGAACCAAAAAAAAAAAACACCATATTAGTCAAATTGACAGCAATCTTATCATTTGAAAATCTATTTTTGAAATCCATTTTCATCGAAAAGACTTCTTTTTTTATATAAAAACAATTTATAAGTCAATCCCCAGAAAAGTTATTCCGATTACCTGCACCTCTAAACAAAATTTGGCACTTACAATTTTTAAATCATCTTAAATTTCAAAATTTGTTGGGAAAATTTTATTCATTTTATTTAAAATTTTCCCATGATTCGTTTCCGGCATTTATTCCATTCCAGTTGAATAAAAAAAAAGTAGAGTTTTTTTGAAAACTTTTCCTTTCCAGACTTAAGGTTATATATATATATATATATATATATATATATATATATATATATATATATATATATATATATATATATATATATATATATATATATATATATATATATATATATATATATATATATATATATATATATATATATATATATATATATATATATATATATATATATATATATATATATATATATATATATATATATATATATATATATATATATATATATATATATATATATATATATAATTAATATCACACCGATTTATCCGGCTATTTATTAATATATTCCCAAATACTTCTAACATACTATTCACGCATATTTGGCCAGCGATTGCCCAATAGAATTGTTCAAACACCGTCATTTTAATTTATCAAAATTACAACACTGCATCCGTGTTCTTATTGTTGTTTTTTTTTTCACGTGTGTATATGTTTTGTGTTGCATTGTTATTGCAGGCTTTTGACGTTGCCAAAATTATAAACGAACGGGGCTGCATCGAGGCCGTAGAAGACTGGACCGAACAAAACATGATATCTTTAGCATCTTGCGGTTTTGTTGTTTTATTTTTTCAAGTAAGTCGCTTCCGTTTTAGAGCACCCCTGTATCATTTCCGGTTCGCGGTGGTTTGCTTGCGTGCATCTACTATGCTGCCGTTTTATTATGACGTCAATAGTTACTACTTGAGACGTTGCTACTGTAGTACGAGACACAATAAATGCTCATGACTGTAGTAATAATACTATTAAGATTTTTACCTGCGGGTAGGCATTGTTAAGCCCATAAATGTAACCCATCCAGGGTAGTTGTAACGAAATTGAAACACAAAATCCATACCATACCATCTAAGGATATATTTAATTTTGTAATTGTTTTCCAAATTAAGTACATGATTAACACATCCTCTCCAACTGCTCTCTGGTATTAATTCGCACTGAGTTTCAATTAAATTTTCTGGTTTAAATTATTATATTATTTGTATAGCATTCAAATCGCAGGTGGTAATCTAAGGGATATATTACCCGATTTTTTTATGACGTCTACGAATAAGTTTTATCATACTATTTGTTCCTTAAAACCACAACTAATTGTTTTTGTTGTATAAGTACGAGGGCAGCGCCAAAATTCCCCGGCCTGAATATGAAAGAAACAAAGTAGAGTAACAATTTTTTATTATTTTTAAATATAATCCCCCTTAACTTCAATACACGTATTACTTCTCTTTATTAACAACTCAATCCTTTTAAAAAAATATTCTTTTGGTTTGTCTGCAAAATGAGCTAAAACAGTCTCTTTTAACTCAACTTTGTCGTTAAACCGCCGTCCGCGTAAGTCCTTTTTCAAATATTCAAACAAATAATAGTCGCTGCGGGACATATCTGGACTATAGGGAGGATGATCTATCTGTTGGAACCCACACTCTAAAATGACAGCTTGTGCAACACTAGCAGTATGGACAAGTATCATTATCGTGCAAAAAACGCACGCCTCTGGTCAATTTTCATAGTCGTTTTACACGTATGCAGTCTCGCAATTTATGTAATAACGTTGCGTAATATTTACCATTGACAGTGGTATTCGTTTCTTTAAAATCTATGAAAAGAATTCCTTCACAATCCCAAATGATCGTGGCCATCACCTTTTTTGTTGACTGGCAGACTCTGAATTTTCTTGGATAAGGATAAGGATAGTGCAAGATGGGTTCCTAAAAACCTTTCGGCTATTCAAAAACAACGCAGTGTCGAGTGTGCGCGGTCTTGTTTGGAACTCTGTGGGTCGGAACCGAAGCCTGTGATAGAAACTATTGTGACAGGAGATGAAACTATGGTTCTCTATTATGATCCTCTATCGAAAAAAGGATCAATGGAGTGGCGTCGTAAGGGTGAAGCACCTCCAAGAAAATTCAGAGTCTGCCAGTCAACAAAAAAGGTGATGGCCACGATCTTTTGGGATTGTGACGGAATTCTTTTTATAGAGTTTGAAGAAATTAATACCACTGTCAATAGTAAATATTACGCAACATTGTTTACTTTTGTCCTTAAAGGATTGATTTTGAGAATCCCTTTTAAGTATCCAGCCTTGGTCGGTCATTGCTAATGTCCTTCATATCCACTTATTTTGCAGATTTTAGGTATTTGCTTCGCTCAGAACTTGCGAGCAGACATTTTCGCGCAGAAGGCCAAATGGCACTGACAATTGCGAACTCCCACGGCCGTCTAGTATACTTTTATGTACAGGACGGCCTGGGAGCCCGGCACCATCGAGAGGTTCGACCTGCTGTGATGTCCGGGAAATGAGATATACCGGGCCGAATTGCTGTTAAACGTTATGGGGGCCATATTTCAGACATGTTGCTGGCGGTCCCGCATTTTATGTTCCGTTTCGGCAGATTACACAGTGCCTCCAATTATAAACTATCCAACCGAAAGAATTTTCCGGGAAAATTACTGTGATTTAAGGGGCGTTCCATCAAAATAGAGCGAGTATGAGAAACAGTGTTAAATCGTGTAAATAAAAGAAAGTCGCCTAAAAGGGGATGCTTTATATTATTATTAAATTAATTATAAGAGATTGTTTTTACAATACATAGTTCGTTCTTGAAGAGGCGCTTTTTTTTTAGGTCAGTTATTTCAGTGCCACAGTGCGACATTAAAAAATTAGTTCTGAACTACACATATTTAGAGTCGAAAGAAACATTAGTAATATCGAAAACAACAATATATCTTAAACTAGCAACCCTCTGTATATTGATATCTAAAAATGCTCTTCATACTATATCCCAATTTAAACCTGCTGTTTTTTCTCTTTTCGTCTGGAAAATTTCTTTCACTGATCTTGGTTACAACGAGCACGTTTTTCTTTTGGTGGCTAGATGAAGACAAATACGTAATTTATTTTTTACAACAAGCTAGAAAAAACAAAATTTACTTTTCTAGCAATTGGCGAATCACCTCTTCGTGAACATATTCTCGCTCTAAACCCTGCAGAATACTTCTAACGTCATCTTCGGAAAGACCGCAAAATTATTCGGGTTTTCTCGACCTTCTTGAGCACCTAGACTTCCCGGCATTGCTCTCCGTCCGACATTTTGGTGTAAACTGACGTGAACTGATGCTAATTAGTTCCAGCTATGACACAAACAAGACAGTCGGCAGTCTGACAAGCAAACTCACTTTATCCATTCTTCACGCCTCATATGCTTAGAGGATGATAGTTCAGAGAAAATTCCATCTTCCTGGAAGTTTTCAGGATTCATGAAAAAACTTGAGCTACCTGCTTTTTCTTTTTTTATTTTTACTTTCACAGTAGATGTTACACGTTTCCTTCCCTTTTGATAAACTCCTTTTGCATTTGAGATGACAATGTTTCTTTTGTCACTGTAAATTTCCGTTTTCAATGCTCGATCCCAACTGGTTTTTGCGTGGTGTACTAGTGACGACAAGCGCGTGCCCAAGAATGTTGTGATTCCGGGGAGAGCGGTGCCATTCATTAACTCCGAACCGAAAAAAACAAAGCATTCCTCGAAAACGGTATGTCCGATCCTAAAAAGTCCTTAATACAGAAGACGCGCAAGATTCGAGGAAATAACCTGAACCTCGAAAATGTACAGGGTGTCCCAATTATGTCTACTGCGGCACTGCCGGCATTATTGCCACAATTTGTGTCTTTCATTTTGCTCTTACGACCCTGAGATGTACTGTAGTTAATTCGCACGTAAGATATCCCTTGGAAGGTTCTCAAAGACAACTTTTTATGCTCTGCAAGAAATCCCGAAAGCCATTTTTTCCCAGCTTTAGCTGCGTTAAACGAAATGTTCATCGACGTCCTTACTTTTGGTATTGAAACTGGAGCTGCTAGATGTTTTTATGTTTTTAACATTTAGCTAGATTGTTGTTTTGAGTGTCGATTCTGCTTTTCGTAACGACTCTAGGAGATGAGGTTGGGTTATTATTTGTTGAAGATTGTAAGAGCACCATACTCATTTAACAACGAATCATAACCATTCACCAGGCAATCTTTATCAATATCTTGAAGTATCCAATTCAAACGATACTTAAACACATGCCATATATGATGAAATAAACAGCAGGTCATATAACAAACAAAAAAATTACTTACGCTTCTTGAGGATCTGCAAAGAAATCTTTTATCGTTATACATGACCTAATATGGATACCCCAAATTATCAAAAAACTACATACAGCATTTGCAAAAGCGCGTTTATTTTGCGACTTTCTTCTACTGGGTGTTTTTAGTACAACGAGGAAACAGATTGATATCTTCGAAAGTGAGCTGTATGTTTCCCGTTTCTCACCAGCATTGAAGAGTTATTTTAATTCCCCATAATTCTGTTGTGATATGTTGGACGCACTGTGTATAAAAGGGGAGTAGCCTTGCCACAAAAGCAATCGAACCAAGCTTGGACCCTTGAACATGACACAGTTTGAATCGCTGAAACGGGTCGACGTTTAATTATTAAAATTTGTACTGGCGGCTGCCTTTTTGTAATTGTACCGCCATTAAAATATGTGTGTAAAAATTGTTTCCGATTTTGATGATCACTACCTTATTGTGCTTTGGATCTCCGATATTGTGATCAGGAAAACTTTTGTAAATAAAGCTAAAATATTAAGATTGCGCAACATTCCGACAGTTCAAACTTCATGTCGATTACTCTTAACTATTAGATAAGGAATCTTAGACAGATTCTTAACGAATCATATCATGAAATCCTTGCTCTGGATCGCAAACTCTTGCGGAACAAGTTTTGAATCTCACGTTTGTTACAGATCGCCTTTCATTTTTGTTCGAAAGGGATTTGTGCATCAAACACGTTTTATTGTTAGATATTTTTCTGTGATGAATATCGTTTGTTAATTTTGAAACAAACTTTGCATCGTTCGAACTAGCCTTTCGTTATGTTACGGCGATGAGTCTCAGTTTTATGTGATATTTATGGGCAAACTCTTTTTTTTATATATAGCGTGGTGATCTTGGCGTGCGACATATGGGATTTTTTTTACTAAGTGCCCAACTTAAATTGCCAAAAGTTGGTGCGTGTTCCGAAATCATATTGTCCAAGAGTAAAGTACCCTTATTTCAGAAAATTTAGCAAAATGTTATTAGGTTGTTTTGAACTTTTATCAGGACGACAAGGTTTTTTGTTCGAAAAATATTAATATTTTTTTTCAATAATTTGAAATATTTAAAATAAGTATATTAAAAAAACTTTTTTTTAATCTTAATAGGCCCTGTTTTAATGTAAAGTAAGAATTTTGACCTGGTAAAACAACTTTTCCTAATAACATTTTACTCAATTATTTGAAATAAGGATACTTTACACTTATGCGGCTTTGTCCTGCTGATTGACTTGTAAATTTTTTATGTACGCCTAATTTGATTACTTAACACGGCAGTATTAGTATTTTAGTTGTGCAGTTTAATAAAAGAAATCCCGTATGTTGCGCACTAAAAGGGTCACAGTGAAGAGATATCGGTATATTGTTTAAGTTAATTATTTCTCTGCTCACTACTGAAACCATTTAATGTTTTACTAAGTTTTTATTTTTAATTTTCGCGTTTTTGTAATCCAACTAATGTTGAGAAAGTATTGTAGTTCTTTGTATACTTGTATAATAAATTATAGTAACATATAGTTTATTTTTGTCATTTTCCGAGTACAGAGTGTGCCAAACGATAAAGCTTGTTCAGATGAATTTCAGGAAGAAATTATTATTTGTTCTTCTTTCCAGGAAAAGAGAAAAATGTTGATACACAAAATACACGAAAGTTTACGTTCTGGGGAATATATGGCAATTAATCTACTTTCTAATGGTGAAAGTCGTTTTCATATGTACTTTAGAATGCAGTCATGACATCTAGCAGTCTAGCATCCAAAGTCAGCGTAACTTGGTTTTTCGCAATAAAAAAAAGCTGCAGGTGCCCAATATTCTGATTGCGGAATAATTGCTGCTTCGTTTCGATAAGATTAGATTTTTGGTATCGAGTTTCGATATATTTAGTAGATATGTGACTGGACGTGGTGGACTTCATGTGCGCAAGCGAGTCTTGATTGTCAGAAAACGGGGTTAAAGAATCAAGTACTACAAATACCAAGCTACATATTTATTTTCAAGACAGTGCCCTTAAAAGGGGTTGGGTAGCTTTCTACGAGCGTGGCACTCCAATATAGAGTTGTTTTGAGGACTTCGTCTCTTCTGAGGGCTCAAAATATATGTTTATCTGTTTGAAAGTTGGCGGTATAGAGCTTGCTGTTGACGTAGTTGCAACTGTGTGAAATATTTTAGTAGCCTTCCGTCATACATTAAATCTCAGTTAACTTTTTTCAGTTGGTTAAAGAGCCAACCCACACATCAGCTACCGAGCAGAAAATCAATGATATCATTTACATTAACCAAGGTATTCAAAGTTCAGAGTTTGTTCGTAAGATGTTTTCTTTGATTTCAAATTATATGTTGATAAGATATCTCCTAAGTTTGTCACATACGAAAATCATACTACTTAGTAATCAACAATTCTCAGTAGATCTTCCGTTAATAGACAGGGATTCCATATATAGGGTGGCCATTTAAAAGAACCATATACTTTTTATTTATTTATATTTCATTTTATTGAATTAGTTGTTTAAAATGTCCACCCAGTTCCTGTGTACATAGTCTAGCTCTTCTTGGAAATGAAGTGATGGCTCTGTTAACAGTGTCAGGATCAGCACGAATAATTGTTCTGTTTTCAATACTTTCTCCATAAACTAAAGTTTTCCGTCTTCCCCATTAGAAGTAATCTAAGTGATTAAGGCCAGGTGACCTCGCTAGCCAAGGAATTGCTGAACCTGTTCCAATCCACCGATTTGTCTAAATTTGATTAAGTAATTCTGTTACTTGTCGACCAAAGTGAGAAGGGTGCACCATCGTGCTGAATCCTCATTCGTGTACTTTATATGTATATGTACAATATTTTAGACTAACCTAACTTATAATAGCTACCAACAAAACGAACGCATTTCTGCAAAAAAAACTAAATCTTCTTAAGACGAATCGGAAGAGAGTGGAAAACTAAAGTAGATGTTGGCGTTTAAAAAAATATGTTTAATAAATTAATGGTTTCTGAGAACCAAAAAGTATTTTTTGGTAAAACTATGTTGTATATCAGAAAAAATGCTGTGGACACAGGTTTATAGATACCACAAATCAAGAAATCGCCTCCATTTAGGAAGACCATGTAAAAATAATGTGGGAACACTCAACCTCACAATTTTAAAAATTAAGTACATAAAATGGAGCAAATTCGAGCAAGATTTGCTTCTTGATGTACGCTTTATAGTATATTTGAGGTCGGAAATACTATGAAATCACTGCGTTATGTAATAAGCTATTACATAGCTTATATAGAATATTCTTAATTACTATAGTGTTATAAATAATTTCGTCATTAGTTAGATTAAAAATACCGAAAACTGTCAGCTTTTTCAAAAATTCGACCAGTGTGTGACTCACTCGAAATCCAGGAGATGAAAAATGAAATAATTCAATGTTTAATAAATAAACTAGGTTTATTGCGTTTACTCGTACAAAACATACTTAATTTTACAAATCTACGCTACGGTGGTTAGGAAATACTTGGTTTGGTAAAGACAATGGTTACGAATAAAACGTCAACACCGACTGTTGGTTCCCTCTGACCAGCAGGAATGGCGGCATGTCTCTGGTTAACGCTTCCAACCATGCCATGTACAGAGGCGCCGAAAATCCTTTTCTCGGCATCGGCAATGACCTACAGTTTTGTTATTAGTGGAGAAAAAAGCCCGTAAAAGTCGCTTCCTTATTTATCGACCTAGAACCAGCCTGACTGAAATCATTAGTCAGGTTATTTTATGCACGACATGGGCAATTACGACCTTTTTTAGTGGTACTGGCAAAAATGGGGAAATTCAGAAAAAATAATTTTAATAATAATAATAAAATAATAAATAATCATTTCATCAATTACACCACAAATCAATTTTTTACAAAAAGGAGCAGTTTTCGATTTTAATGACAGTTCCCCAACATCTTTCTAAAAGCGAAATGTTAGCGGGAAGGCCCTAGGAGTCTACAACACTATTGAACCTAGAAGCGCGTTAATATATCGCATGAGTATTAATTGAAGAAGAGAAGAAATTAAAAAAAGGGAAAATCGGAGAAAAAGGAAACCCAAACCCAGATCGACGATGGAGTTGCCATAGGAGTTCAACATAACCCTAAAATTAAATAAAAATAGCTATTGAATATTTAAATTAATTATTGTAAAAGTAGATTTTGTTCTGTAAGTAATTTAGATTCTATTAATTTTGTGTACGAAAATAGCCCTAATTCCCTCATCTGGCTGGTAAGACTATTCCATATCTTTATTGCTACATAATTAAATGATATCTGAAATGCTGACGTTCTTCAACGAGGAATAACGTTATTTCTTGTTCTTTGGCAATATGGAAGAAGTTAGAACATCTCATTAAGATAAGCCGGCATATTTAAAACATTAAAATTACTCCAAAAAGGATGGTTAAGTTTTAGGGTGTGGTAGTGGTGTGGTTTGTTGTAAATAAGGTCAAGGTGTTAAGATCTGCGTTAAGTTTTTGTAAAATTTCTGGAACCGATTAGATATTGAATGGTAAATGAAGCTTGGAATCGTCTGTCTAAGCTAAGACACATAAGAAAAGAGAATTTGTGGAATTATCGATGCCTGTGTGGAACATCCTGCTTAATCAACTTTTTTTTTGAAAACTTCCTCATATATCTTACTACATTTCTTTCACATCATATAGTATATGGTTTCATATACAAAATCTAATATTCATATCTGAGGTCATGAAAAGAATGAAAAATAAAAAATCTGAAAATTGTATCACCTCAGGTATCATCGCTTATGTGTGCTCTTCAAGTCAAACAAAAAATAATTGACATATGTTGAATAGTTTCGGAGTTATTGGAGGGGGAATGATAAAAAGCATTTTGCCAGTTTTTTCGGATATTACAAAACTCGGTACCGCTAAAAACAAAAGTCGTAATTGCTCATTTCGTATGTACAATAATCTCACTAATGATTTGGGCGAGGTATCATCTGGTTCTAAGTCTAAGGGAAACGAGCTTCAGGACTATCGTTTAGTGTCTAATTTAAATTTCTTTATGTGCGAATTACTGCGAATCGTCGCGGTATTTCCTCCCTAAAACTTCGGCCGTCCTGAAATTGCTACTCACATCACTACTAAGTTTGCGGCGCTCGAGTTCTCCAGCAGGAGTTCTCTCAGCCTCAGCTGACGGTAAGTTTTGTCTTGATTTGCAGCGAATTCCCTCTCACTCACTCGGCAATCTGAAATTTTATTTTAGATTTTAAATTTCATAAAATTTCTCTCTTAGGGGTATGTGAAACATAACGGAAAGAATCAATTTTGATTCTATTTCTTTTAAATTCAATGCCTAATTGCTGAAATTCCTCCTCCTAGCGAATTTTAAACAAAAAAAAATTAATTTTTCGACTCATCTGTTCGGAACCAAGACTAGCCACGGGCTCCACATGTTGCTCCATAGTTATTGTAAAGGATGTTTATAAGGTAAGCAATTTTTAATTAAGCGGTGAATGAAATATAATAGACATATTCATTTTTATTTTTATCTTTTAGGTTGTTATCTAGGTCAAGAAGGGTCTATTACATTTACAATACCAAGGAGTTGCCGAGAAAAAAAAACCTCGTCAGTGACTGCTACAAAACCTATCGAATATCCTGCTTGAATCTTCTTCTGCACCAATTACGCACGAACTGACACGACCAGTATCTGAGCGACCGAAAAAATTATCGCAGAAACGTAACTCATCGCTTAGTTGTAATAAAAGTTGAGTTACCTATACCAGAACAACCAAAACATCTTATTACTACAGAATATTGTAACGACTCGGAGAGAGTTAAATTGGCCAAAAAATAAAGGAGAGCTTTTAGGCTGTCGCTTAAAATAATGAAATTTGCTTGATTATGCTAATATCACGGATCACTAGACATAAAATATTCTCAACGTATTTCACAAAACAAGATGGATTTTGTTTGCATACTTGGCATACCCTGTGTCCCTAACGAATGGCGTCTATCGACGACAGCTCTACAAAAAGCTTAAAAGCTGTTTTATTACACAACGGAAATAAATTCACATCTCTTCCAATCGGTCGCTCAGTATATTTAAAAGAAAACCACGAAAGTGTTGAAATCTTTCTTGAATCTGTAAAGCATCGCGAGTAAAACTGACAGCTAATTTTAGATTTTAAAATTGTAGTATTTTTAATGGGACTACGGGGCTGATATACAAAGTATCCATGTTATCTCTGCTTATGGGATAGCAGAGCGGACTCTCATGGCGTATAAGGACAGAACTATGTATCGGAAAACAAAACGTAATCTTTTTTCTGGAACTACTAGCAGTATTAAAATTGCATTGTTAATATTGTCTCTGGCGTAAATACTGTAAAACACTGTTCAAATTGTTTTTCCAAAGTTGCGCAGTGCGTAATTTTATTTTTGTTTAAATCTCGGATGTAACGAATTATTTGAGAGAAAAAAAATCGAAATTTAATTATAGGAATGCTTAATAAAATTGAAAGATCATTAATAGGAGTAATTAATGGAAGTAAAATATACAGCCTGCTCTAGTAATTTTTTTCACGAAAACTAAATTTTTCATTTTGACTCATCCTGTATAAACGATTCGAACTACCTTCAAGACAAAATCTCACGAAAACTGGTCATAATTCCGAAAACTCAATATAGACCATAACTATTGGGTTATTTTAGTCTCATTTAGCATTTTTCTTTAAAACAAAAATAATTTTACTTTTGCACACTATTTGGACACCGTGTATAAACTGTTTATTTCTAGCGATTGTAGTAGCTCAAAGTACCATTTTGGGATCTAAAAGTTCGTTCATTTTATACTTATTTGGGATTACTGAAATTGGTAGCAACAAATCCAAAAAAAAAAGACGATATTTCGGTTACTTTTCGAAAAACAAAAAAAAATCATTTTAGGAATCAGTGCCTAAATGGACATACTCAGCGAGACTTTGGTTCAAAAATTTTTGGTCCGAAAACGCAAAACTACTTTTCCTCAAGTGGACTTAAAAAAATGGTTATTTTCCTCACCACTTTCAGCGTCGTTCTGAATCCTAAACTCTTTCAGCATATTATTGAAAAACTCGATCGTCCGCTCCTGCGGCTTATCGCTGAGCGACACCATTTTGAGCGACGAATACTGCAGTCGGAATTTCGAAAGCATGTGTGCCATGCTAAAAACACCACTTGTTACATCCGAAACGTCACGGTTCAATGCTCACTTTCTCTCTTCCAAAGCGATGTCGTTCTTGTTGCTCGCAAGTCCAAACACTCTCAGTTTGCAGCTGGACCAGTCGTGCCTTGTGGAAATGATGTACGGCAGCAGCATGGTCAACCCACCATCATCGTACAACCACCACACGTCTATAAATCTGCGAAATGCGTGGATTACCCGCAAAGTTCTCCAATCAATTGGTCTCTCACCCTTTGTCCTGTTTTTTCCTGAACCTGTTCATTTCCTCCACGTGAAACAATTCCTCGTTCGACATGCTCAACACCACTTCCAGTTTCGCTTGGGCCTTTTTGCTCTTCAGCTGACTCGACGTCAGGTCCGTTATCGTCTCTGAAACCGAGTTCTGAATTTAAAATTGTCGCCTTCAAGAGTTTCTTGAACGAATGTACCTGTAGACTGAAGCTTATGGTCGCCGAGGATGTAATTGGGGGTTGTTTTGTTACCGTTGGGGTTGTCGATGTTCACCAAACTAAGATTCGAGTCCGTATGCATCATGGTTGGGCTGCTGATCGACGTGCGCAGGTTCGGCATGGATTGGTTGTGCAATGTGCCGCAGTCAGACTGAATGGTTTCGTCTAGCTCGGTCAGCGTGCTATAGTCGAAGCCTCCCTTCACCCTTAGGATCGCCACAGCCAGATGGTGGTCGAACGCGGCACTAATAATGTCAATTTCTAAGTTCAGAAACAAAAGAAAACTGCGCTGGTGCTTACTGTAATACGTTGAAGTATGCGATGAGCTGCGATCGTGGACAATTCGACCAGTCGTTTTTGTACCCCATCATCATGACGTTGGGCACGAGCTTGCCGATCCCCGAGGCTTGCAGGAGAGCCTTGGCACCTGTTTCGAATTTCATGCTGTCGATTACGTTGTAGAACGCTTTGATTTTATTGCCCTTGAGGAATGCGTACCCGTCCTGGATCCGCCGGGACCGGCCCTTGTGCGATATTTTTTCCTAATATTAAAGAAAACACAAAATTTATAAACACTATAAACAACAAAGGACCGAGTAAACAAAAAAATAAAAAGGAAATCAATTTTTGAATTTCCATCTTTTTGTTTGATTTTAATCTGTTTCTCGTCTTTGTTTTTCAAATAGTTTCTGTATGTGTGTTTGTTCATGTTATTTTATACACTTCCTTTTAGTCAAAGTGATTTTGCATTTTTTTTTTCGAATTGATTTCTTCTGGTTATAATTTGGTTTATTTATATTATTTTGTTTGTTCATGCTGTTTTATACACTCATGTTACTTTTATTTTAATTTTCTTATTGATTACTTTTAGAGATAGATATTTGACCGGTACTTTTTTTTGTATTACACTTTTTTTGACGATTCAGCTACTTGCTATATATTATACTATATTTTTTTTGTTAATTGAAGATAATAAATACATTCAGTATTGAGTATTGAATATACGACTAAGTAAGCGAGCGAGTGTATTTTGTAATGTCATGTGCCATATTATTTTTAAGGAACCCCCATGACATTGCAAGTAATTTCGATAGCCTTATAAAGCAGATACCAAATTACTGTAACAAGATGGAAGTGAAGAAACTTCACTTGGTGCCTTAATAAGGTCAAAAAAAAATTCGTTCATAGGAGAAGAGAGAGGTGTCTTTTTGCATACTGGGCTAGAAAGTGAAAACTGTTCATTACTATTATTACCTCAATAACGTCTCCTACGATCAACAACGAATGATTCTTGGTAATCAAATTGGCGAAGTCCAGTAGCGGAGGGCGGTGTTTGGGTGCCCCGCAAAGTACCAGCACTTGGGGTTTGTAATTCTTGACGTGCTCGCCTACGTTGTTCAGCTTCTGTGCCGTCGAAAGAGCCGTTTTATAGGTCTGCGCTTGCGTGGACGAGCCCCAGTTTACATCTGTCGAGAAGAAGCTTTATCAACACGTTCAAACTCAACCTAGCAATAACGGTACCCGGTTTACGATAGACGACGACCAAATATAGGCCGAGGATCACTATGAACGTGATCAGTGACGTCTTCCAGTTGATCAGAAACATGATCACTACGCAAGCGATGAACCCGAACAGACTGAGCCACAAATTGTAATACTGGAACAATATTTATAATAATAACAAAGGTACTGGTCTATTCAGTAACCACATGAGGTCTTGTTATAATGCACAGTTCTGATTTTGATTTATCTAAACTTGAGATGAGTATTGTGGTAAATAAGTGGTGTTGAATATTAGTAATTAGATATTGTTTCTAATTGTAAATAAACTAAATTTGCGTTTTGTTTAATTTTGGTTAGTTTTTGGATAATCTACAAAAGATCTTTAAAACAACTCTTTAATTGCGTATATTTGATAAATGATGGTCGTGCAACATTGATGAACTTATGGCATAGTTTCAGTGAAAAGTACCACAAGCACGAAGATGTTTTTTCTGACTCTATTTCAACGGCACAGGAGGTATCTATTGAAAAATCCCCGTTACGAAGCGATTGTCCAAAACAAAGTGCAAAAGAGTTGGTCATATCTTGCCTAGTATGCAACTTAGTATCATTAACATTCACTTTTGTTTTTGATAATCGACCAAAACTTTTTAGAATTCTTTTAATCTCATATTCAACTTTCAGTAGATAGTTTTTATAAGAGTGCCTAATCTCAGATTTTATCTTTGACCTAAAATATTCGCCAATGTTAATGCAAATCTACGACATGGTGTCCACTTCTGGGGTTTGTCAAGCTTCGCTACAGATGTTTTTATTGCCCAAAAATGCGTACATTGCTGGAAAACCAAAAACTCATACTTGTAGCGATATTTGCTTCATTATTACTTCCTTTAAGAGAAAATAGTGGAATAAAGTTCGCGAAGATCATCAATATGCTTTAGAAATTGATATATTTTATTAAAGTGCCTTATAGTTGTTGATGAGACTGATTAATAAAACATTTTTAAAGGCTTCGTATCACATGATTATAAATCAATAATTATAAAACTATATATGCTTGAGCTAATTTTTTTTATAATTGTTTGAAAATGATTTTATTGCTGCTACAGGACACAATTTGCATAGTGCGACATTTTTGCGTTCAGGACCATTTTAATAACAGTTTTTTTATTATTATATTTAATCATGTTTGCAACGGAATAATCGAGAAACAACTAATAAGATAAAAGAGGCAAATAGTAGTTTTTTCGTATGCGATATAGCTTCATTAGGAATAACCTATTTTTTCATGCTAATTCTAATTTATTAGATACAATTGTTTGATAAACTTGCGCCTTTTCCATGTTTATTAGCGTCATATTAAAGGTTAAAGTCTGTTCATAGATATAAGAAAGTGACTAACTGATACGAATTAAGGAAAGACTCGGGAAAGCTATAAGAATGAAATATGACCGAACAGGTCCGTACTTAGAATTTAATTATTTGGGGTTTTGTTAGGTATTTACTTTTAAATCTAAAATAAAATTACAAATTATTTTTATTGCCTACTTAAATTACTTAAAATTATTCACATAATATATCAGTATCACTATAGCTATCATCGCCTGTTCTTATTATTATTTGTTCTATATTATTTGCATTATGGATATACGATTGTTCTGCTTTTTCTATATGTTTAACAGAATTTGCCCAACTTTGTGGAGGGATATTAAAAACTTCGGTTTCTATAAGTTTGAGGACATTGAAGTTAACACGGGGAAAAACATTGTTCCGACGAATGGCAGATTTCAGTTGGTGCCAAACATGTTGAATGGGATTAAATATACAGTGAAGCCTTAAAACTGTATGCCCCAGATTTTTTGCATAATTATCACAGACGTATTCCTTTTGTAGGTTCAAGCTTTGTAGAACCTCAATTAATTGCTTTTTGGTATAATCTTCGTGAAAATAAATGTCGTTATTATTCATGTAATTTTGGATTGTTGCTTTTGTGTCACATGAGGAAGGGGTTTTAGTCAACTGTCTACTGTGATAACTTGCATTGTCCATTACAATGACGCTATTAGGAGGAATGTTTGGAACTAGTTTGTATTTAAACCAACTTTCAAATAAATCAGCGGTGGTGTCTTAATGGCAATCCAGAGAAGAATCTTTAATATTTTTCGCAGACAGAGAAAGTCCATTTAGAATCCAACCATCTTTAGAGCCAGCATGCAAAATAGTTATTCTTTTACCTTTTTTTGATGGCGCATTTGTTTTACACTTATCAGTTGAGTCAACCCAACCCTTTTCCGGGGTGTCACAAGTGTCGAACCAGGTTTCATCGAAGTAAATAATTGGCCTTTGTTGTTCTCTGTAAATCCTATTTTTTTTTCTAGATATTCCAGTCGCCATTTCCGAATTCTAAAAGATTCCATTAAAACTTACCTTTTGTCAATTTTTTTAAATGTAAAACCCATGTGTTGAATACACTTCCATAAGGTAGTTCTGCCACATTTAACACTGGTTTCATCTTTTTCAAGCCTCCTAATTAAGATATCTAATGTAGGAACGCTTTGTTCCTCGTATAACTGGTAGATTTTACGCCGTATTATATCTTAATCACTTTCATCTACACTCGCTTCTTTTTTTCCCCGCTGAAATGGGATTATTCACAATTTGATGTTGGAATTTTCGTCAATGTGGCTGTCTCTTGTAAAGATGCTTGCTTGATGGCACCACGTTCAATGAGAGTAAAATAAACATTGTTTATAACTTCCTTAGTCTCAATAGAATAGTGTTTTCTACATTTGGGCGGGAGCATCTCCCGAGATACACTAGACTCATGCATAATTCGCACACGATTCAACACACGCTGTATTACACACGAAATAAGAATGATTATTAATAAACTTAAACTAAGTAGTATATCAACCCAAAGAATATTAAACACAGGTAGGTGTAAAATAATTTTCTATTACGGAGCACAATTTTACCTGAATTTAAATTTAGGTAATAATCTTGTTGCATTGTATGTTAAAGACCACCCTTGGATAATCCCATTCAAAAGCAATTGGTAACTTTCTTATATCTATGAACAGACCATACCAGTAAGGCAAGTACTTAGTAAGGTATATGACACCTTTCAGCGCATTTGTGCCACTTGGGACTGTACTGCCTTTTTTTCTGTATGAAATCTGATTGTTTATTTGTTTTTACAAATCGCATTAATTCCTAAAAGACTCTCGATATACATAATTTAGATATTAAAAGTAGTTCTAACCTCCGCACATATATTAGCGTCCGGCTATCTTTTATTTTAGAATTAAAAATGACTTTTCCTATACAGTGTATTATTCTCGATAGAAATAAACGTATTGTATTGTATTGATTGTTTGACTGGAGCACTTTTTGCGTAGGAGTCTTCAAATCGTTACGTTTATCACGAAATTCCACTCATACGCACCTTGAACGTGGGCCTCCAGCCAAGGGGTTTTATCAACGCCGCGTGGAAGGTGCAGAAGTTGATGAGCGCGTAAGACGCCAGGTAGAAGTTTGAAATCAGTGGGGCAATCGCGTTTAGCTCGCCTGAAATCCCAAGCCGTTATTTGGGAGTCGGTTTACCTGCGTCCGGTCGACTTGCCGATCAAAAGAAACGCAACAGACACGAAGAACGTGAGGACGTAACCTCTATACGGCTCCCCTGCCTTTCCGTACCCTTTGGAAAAGTAAATCAACCCTGGATAAATCTGATCGATGCCGAGGGCTTGGATGAGCCTGGGCACGGAAAGCAAGTTCGTCAGGGCGGTGCTCAGGCACGCTGCCCAGCAACCCGCGTAAATTAGTGGTTCCCAGCTCGACATAATGGTCATCATCTGCAAATCGAAGTAGTTATATGATGCTCCTTAATTGGAAAGAAAATCACCTGGTAGTTGTTGAAAAGTCCCCAATCGCATTTTCCGCCAACGGCGCAGTTCGCGACTGTACCGTTGATCAGGTCGGCGGTATTTCCGCTTGCGTCCCTCATGGCGGCGCCACCGGCGAACAACATGAACAACGCGTAAGAGAGCATAGTTATCAGCAATGCCAGGAACGTTCCCTTTGGGATGGCGGTGGCGGGATCCTGAAAAACAGTCCGAGCTACTGATCTGACTAGAACTTGATGATTGCGTTGCATTAGTATTCTGTCTACACTCTCTAAGACTCTAGAGAAAATATTGAACGAACAAATAAGAGCATTTCTAAATATTTACAGTGTTTTGCCTCGGAAATAATCAGGTTTTCGATCTGATTATAGTTGTGAAAGCGTTCCTGCAGATGTAATAGAAAAAATTCTTAGGGTTTATGATGATTACGAAGAGCAAAAGCTGGCTTGATCCCGATGTTCAGTATGCATAGGGTCTGCGAAAATATGGTCTATCGATTATTTTTGACTTGAAGAGGTTTCAGCAAGAGGTGTCAGAATAGTTACCTCTTACGCTCAACATTAATTTAGAGCAAACTAAATACATGATCGTTAAAAAAAAGCAAACAGGTCACTGCGAGATCAAAATTAAGGGTGTGGTGTTAAACAAGAACGGAGAAAATATAAAAAAAAAGCCCCTAATAGCTACTTTTAGAATATTTAAGATGCATATATTTTGTCAGAACGAACTGTTTGGGGTACTTGTGGGAAACTCCAACCTCAATAAAATACAATTCCTCGAAAATGAGGCCCTTTGATTTGGATTATCGGATTCATAGAATATATCTCTCCAGTATGCGAAAGGTTTTGCCAATTTCGAGTACACTTTAAAATGAGAAACCGAAATCATTAATAATTCGCAAGGATCGAATATTACATGTAGTAATAATAATAACAACAATCGATTTCATGGCCCAACAGTTCACACCAATTACAAGGCAAAATGTAATAAAACAATCACAATAGAGGAGAAAATAAACATACAATAACTCCATAATATGCTATATGAAAATGCTCAGCAGCTACGAAAAACAAATCCAAGTAATCTATAAGGAAGAATTGACTGTAATATCAATGTGTTGAATAAACGAAAGCTGTGGATCGAAAGTCACACTAAAATCTATACTACACTAGAAAGCTGCTCCAAGATTAGAACCCTGGGGCACGCCGGGTGTTGCGACAAACTGCGCCAACTGGAATCTATTATAGCTTACTTATAGCTATTGTGTAGATAAGACGTAAAGAGACAGAAAAAAATCAGCACTGGAATTTTTTTAACCTTCATGGAGCGGTCAATGCGATCAAAAGCCTTATCAAGATCCAAATGCACTACATCAACCTGAATTGCTTAGTCGAGAGGCTCTGCAATATACTGCGTCAGCTCTACTAAGTTGGAAGCCGGACCACCACAAATCAGTTTTTCTAAGGCTTTAACGAAGGTTCGAGGTAGAGTCACTCTTCAGAAAGGGACACACCCTAGCCAATTTCAAGCATTCTGGAACAGTACGGCATTTTATAATACCTTTAAAAATGGCTAATAGAGGGAAGATTAAAATTTGAGCGCAATCCACAACAACAAAGCCTTTAAACCCATTTAAAAGAAAATTGAAAGCTTGCTACAGCTAGTGCCTCAACATATGTGTGCTTCCAATACCAATACCAAAAGTATTGTCTAGGAGTTGTTTGTTTTTTTTTATTCAGTTAGAGATTAGATAAAAAAGTGTTTTACTAGCCTTTAGATCCCCTGAAATGTTAGCACCGGCTTGAATCCCCGTAACCGAAGGGAAAAATATGGCGAAAACTTTGAAGAAATCGTAGCTCTCCCCCTCCGAGTCTCTGTATTGGGGTGCCCAGTTTGCTTCCCAAACAGTAGCTGCGAACAAACGTCAACAATAATTGCGACATAAATGAATTCCGACTCTATTTACCATTAAATCCGGTAAATCCTTGGGCCTGCTGCAAGTCACCCCGGGGCCCCAATATCGTGCCGACGACGAAGTCCAACATGGCGGCCGAAATAATCGCTATTAGAAAGTTCTGGGCCTTGCTCTCCCATTCCATACCGATCGCGCATATAATTACCATCACAACCGTTGCTACCGTACCTACGGTTGGAAAAAATGTGTCACAACCAAAAGAGTTATGGGGTGTTTGTTGATTTATACCGAAATTGCTCTTTGCAGTGTCGATAATTATCAATGAATTACCATTAGCTTAGTGAATAAAGACTGTAGTGTGTATTTAAAAGAGGAGGAAACTGCAGCTCAACTGCTAAGAGTATGTGGGAATCTATAAATGATCTACCAGATGCAGGGGGCTGAGCTGCTCCTAGTTGATACCTAGCTCCTAGTTAAACCTCATTGGAATTATGGTTCACACTAAGGGAGGAATGTCCGTTGTTAGTGAAGCTAGAGCCTTGCGTTCTCGCAAGCTTTTGGTACTTTTTTTTTTAATGGAACTCCCTATATCTTATAGGCCAACTTGATTCTACTTAGTATGAGCTTCTCAAAAATGTATAACGGTATGGGGTTATTTGTGTAAATCACAAAAATGATTTTTTAAATTTTCATGAAAGTATTTGCGGAAGGCTTTCGAAAAAGGATTTATTGAATATTTAACTTTTATAATTTTCCTGAAGTCAAAAATATATTTTGGCATTTTCTCTAACGCACAATCTACAGGCAGTTTCGATCCTCTTTAAAGCTTTCAGAATAAGAAGAGGTTGCACTTTCAAAAGCTGCTTCAAAGGTCTCCCTCACTTTTTAAATGCGGCCACAAAAAAAATCTTAAACGCTTAAATCTTGAAATATTTCCATATACAACTGGCAGTCCATACCAAAATGTAATATTTGACCGAGAACAAAAAAGAAGTTTTGGTTTCAGTGTGTTTTACCTTCAAAAACAGGTTCTTCTTTTTTGTTCTCGGTCAAATATTACATTTTGGTCTTCTTGATACCAGTGCCGAGTATTTTGTTTTTTAATTATACCGGCGCTGCTTTTGAATGTTTGATCCGACAAAATTACCTTCCAATATAGCAGTCGTCTATCTGGATCGTCAGGATGAAAATGATGGACTACTTGATCTTATAATGAATTCTGTGGTTTGACTTGCCCACTTGCTAGAATATTTATTTCTGCTATTTCATATATTTTGATACAGATCTTTGTCCGAAGCTTTGAATAGGTCCAAATCTAAGTAAATTCTCCTTTAACTTAAATATTAAACGATTTGTGGTCTCTCTGGAAAACTTAAAGTAAAAAAAATACCTTAAGATTTTTTTTTACCTATTTTAATACATGTCCATTGCGTTACATTTGCTTCGCTAATATTCAAGTATTTAATTATATTAAAGGCTCTTCTTTAATGATTTGGATGAGACTACAGAGTAAATTAAGTTTTTTACATGAATTTTTCGACAGGGATATTAACATATGCTGTTTATTGCATACTTTTTTCTTTTATCATGGCCAAGCTGTTTTTTATGATAAAACTTGGTAGTGTTTCGTATTAAGGCGGTACGCGGTGTCGCGGTGAACGTAAATAGTAATATAGAAAACGTTTAACCTCTGATATTGGCCTATAAGATATTCAAAAAACACAGACCTATTTTTTTTTTCAAAAAGACAAAACCATTTAGAAAAAACTGACTACGCCACTGAATTCTACGTAAAGATCTATATCGGATGCGCTTTTCACATTTCCGATATTTTATAGGATACTCGAGATGCCAGAAATTTCCAAAATCACCATGTATTTGAAAATCTTGCAATTCATAAAAATTTTCTTAACATCATCCTTCGTTTCACAAAAAAGTACCAAAGGTTTGCGAAAACGCAAGGCTTTATCTTCACTAACAACAAACATACCCCTGAGTCGCAACCAGAATGGGACACATTGTACATATTTAGCTTTGCGGTTCACTCCACAGTCAATATTATTGTTCATATTTGTTTTGACGATTATTAAGTCCATAAAGTGGATGAACGAGATTGACACCTCTGGGTTATATCTCTACGAATCTAACGTTGCATGTAAGTTTACCTATAACTCTAGCGTCATTGACTCCATAGTCGATCAGGGGTATATCGTACTTCTTAAATAGGTCGCTAACCGAGTTGCAAAAGCCGATAGTGTTCATCGAAGCGTTGACGGCATTGGCAAATGCAAAAACTATGCCGACCGACGCTCCAAATTCGGGACCCAGGGATCGTGATATCAAGTAGTATATTCCTCCTGAAAGTAAATCGACATTTTCATTGGTTTCAACGGTCCCAACTGTCTACTACAGCAGTATGGGTTGTGACGCGTAGCTAAGTTACTATGCCATTACAAAATGTTGCCATACCCAAGAAAAGAAGTTGTTTCTGACTTGTATAGGGGAGTCCTTGATTAGGATCACTTATAATTAGTGACAGTTCGTTGGCCATGTATAGGAGTGAACCGCTCTGTTCATCTCACTACTGCAATGTTTAAAAAGATGGGGGGAGGAGGGGTGACAGAAAAAGAGGTTTATAACGAGAGAGACGCTCACTCATGTACCTGTACAAACGAATAAGTTTAGGTCATTGGAGTTAACACCTGGAAAAACATTGTTACGACGAATGGCAGATTTCAGTTGGTGCCAAACATGTTCAATGGGATTAAATATACAGTGGTAAGGTGGAAGCCTTAAAACCGTATGCCCTAGATTTTTTCCATAATTATCACAGACGTATTCCATTTATAGGTTCAAGCTTTGTAGAACCTCAATTAATTGCTTTTTGGTACACCATTTGTGAAAATAATTGTCGTTATTATACATGTAGTTTTGGATTGTTACTTTTGTGTCACATGAGAAAGGGGTTTTAATCTACTGTCTACTGTGATAACTTTCATTGTCCATTAGGAGAAATGTTTGGAACTAGTTTGTTTTTAAACCAACTTTCAAATAAATCAGCGATGGTGTCTTCATGGTAATCCAGAGAAAAATCTTTAATATTTTTCGCAGATAGAGAAAGCCCATTTGAAATCTTTAGAGCCAGCATGCAAAATAGTTATTCTTTTACCTCTTTTTGATGGCGCGTTTGTTTTACATTTATCAGTGAGTCAACCCAACCCTTTTCCGGGGTATCATAAGTGTCGAACCCGGTTTCATCCAAGTAAATAATTGGCCTTTGTTGTTCTCTGTAAATTCTAATTTCTTCTAGATATTCCAATCGCCATTTCCGAATTCTAAAAGATTCCATTAAAACTTGCCTTTTGTCAATTTTTTTAAATCTAAAACCCATGTGTTGAATACACTTCCATAAGGTAGTTCAGTTACATTTAACAGTGGTTTCATTTGTTCCTCGCATAACTGGTAAATTTTACGCCGCAAGTATAAGTTTAATGATCTAAAGAGGGGTTTATTGACAGTTGTAAATATATCTCAAAACCGACGTCCAATATTTTTCAAATTTAAATTTAAACGACCATAATATTTAGTGGATTTAAGAAATCTACAGGTAATGCAAATGCTTGAAGGTGGCAGACTATGCTTCAGTGGAAATACTAAGAGATTGTCGAACTTGTCTTTATTTCTTTTTGTATGCAGATGTATCACTACCCGTTATCAGTACATTCTTGAATGTAACAATTATGAAGCAAATATTTTTCAATGCTACTTAATTCTATATCCAATGCTTCGTCACTGCATACTGTGATTGCTCTTTTGCAGAGTGTTTGGATGAATCCTAATTTGGTTGTTTCAGAATGTTATACTGGAAATTTGGAAGGTTAGAGACGCTATTTCTACGTACTAGGATATCTACAAACTAAATGCAACCGAATTCAGCTGTCTATGGGTCCCATTCCAGATGATGAACGTATCGTCAACATATAAGACTCTTGCTTAAGAAATGTCGCATCTATAGTGTCATTAATTAATATGTCTAAATTTGGTGAGATGTTCAGAAAAGTAGCTAACCAATATTCTCATTAATGAAGATTCTCATTTGTAGAGCAGATATGTTCTATTTAACTTCAGTCAATGCTTCATTTTGTTTACTATCGTAATGCAAGATTATTTTACTGATTTAGCTTATCCAAATTGGAATGATGAATATTATTGCAATGTAATAGAAAAGTTTATTTGTTCGTTTTGGTTGGTATTCTGTTCCCAAGAATATTTTAGCCCAAATTCGAATTTTCACGACTTATCGAAAGTTTCTTAAGCCAGCTTAGCCAAAATCACTGGTGGTGAGGAAAAACATTCGATAGAGTGTAGTCCCAAAATTTGCTTACCTCCTTTTACTTCTCCATTGGTGCATATTGCCGATAATGACAGCGTCGTTATGATACAAACGACCGCAGAAATGAGGATGATTATCATTGATAAACCTGCAAAATAAAACGACTTATAGACATTTCAGGCGAATCGACTAAACCACTGAATAAAATCAATTACTATTCAAACGGATATCGTATATCATAAAAACTGAAATAAGATGCTCTTTTATAAAACATGGATGTACGGATCATTTTTCTTTTTTATTATTTTTCATTGGAATAGTCAAATAACTGAGAGTATTGGGAAAATAATGAACACTGATGAAACAAACAACAAGAATTATTTTTGTATCAATGAAAATTAATTACGAAGTCCGTATAAATTCAGTCTAAAAGCATTCTTTTGGCACTTGGGAAGGAAGAGAAGAATTCAATTTGCCATCTTTTTCACCAAATATTAAGGTCATACAATATTCGCATTTTCTCTAAAGCCAAAGCCATTTTATTACTTATTCTCAATAATCTCTATCGAAATATTTGCGGTTTCAACATAAAAGGTTTGTAATTACTGAAATTTTAATTATTAGGATTTTCGAGGCTATTGTTTGTTTTGGCAAAATTTTTATAAAAATATAGTCGAATGTGCGCAAGTGAAGATTTTTATATTGGGGGGTGATTCTATAAGAATTGCAACTGTTATAACCGTAAAATCTTGACTTCTAAATATTTAACTGTTACTAAAATTTCTCTATTATTTAAATGGTAACAAAATGGTTCTTTTGGATACAGTTGCGAAAATATCCGTTTTTGTTGATACGGATTAAAGTTTCATTTGGTTAGGAGATGCAAACTTTCTCGAAAACTACACGAATTAACATTTTTATTTCAAGATTCGATAGTTGTATATTTGTATCTTCGTAGCTCAAGATTCTATAGTTTAAATGTCGCCAGTTATTAATGAATCACCCTGTATTAATTGCTAAAAGTCATAATAAATAAATGAAATAATTTATTTACGTACAAGCATTATTTTTATACTACCTGCCCTTAAAACTTTCAAACTTAAGCATTTAAAAATCTCTTGCAAACCAAAAATTTGTAATTAAATCCTCGTCGAATATCGAAAATATTATCGCGAAGATACGTCTGGCGTAACTAACAAAAAGTATCAATTTACATCCATTGTTTACGCGGTTAATAATTAAAATCTTCTCACTTGGCACTTAAATGCCTTCAGGCATTTTTATGCACGTGTAAACAGGTATTGTCAGGATAAGGTTTTTACTGTAAAAAGTTGAAAATGTTTGAAGGAAACGAGCTACCCGGGAGTTTATAAACTGCATGCAGAAAAATAAAAATGGACACTTTGGTTATGATGTGTTAAGAGAAAGTCGCTATGATTTTGGGAATAAAGCTAAACTCGCCAAGTCGCCAAAATTATAAATAGGTTTTGCAAGAGTCGACATAATTTTAAAATGGGTCGCAATTTTTTGTGAATTGAATAAAAGTGGGTAATGAATCTCCGCCAATAACATAACACCACCGATAAGAACTATGCTCTGCGCTTATGAGCCTGATGGAAAAATAGCTGTATTAATGTGTGTTAATTATGCAGTAAATATTAGGATGGTAGAACGTAATATTTAGTATACTATATGCCTGCGTGCACACAGAATCGCTTATATTAATTTTACAATTTTTGTTGGAAGAAGAAGAAGAAGAAGAATTTTATTAACCACATATTGTACAATAATAATACAATTGCAGCCTGTCAATATATATATATATATATATATATATATATATATATATATATATATATATATATATATATATATATATATATATATATATATATATATATATATATGATGACACTATACTCCGGGATATCATCCGTTCGCTCGTTGAACTCCGACTGGAATCCTGCAAATCCTGCATCCGACTGGAATCCTGCAGACGTTTCGCCAAAATCTCACTTGGCATCTTCAATGCTCGCGCTCCGAAAACACTTCGAACACTGGTTCGAAGTGTTTTCGGAGCGCGAGCATTGAAGATGCCAAGTGAGATTTTGGCGAAACGTCTGCAGGATTCCAGTCGGATGCAGGATTTGCAGGATTCCAGTCGGAGTTCAACGAGCGAACGGATGATATCCCGGAGTATAGTGTCATCACATTTTTCCATCCATGAATCAATACGTGAGAATATATATATATATATATATATATATATATATATATATATATATATATATATATATATATATATATATATATATATATATATATATATATATATATATATATATATATATATATATATATATATATATATATATATATATATATATATATATTGACACTATATTCCGGGATATCATCCGTTCGCTCGTTGAACTCCGACTGGAATCCTGCATCCGACTGGAATCCTGCAAATCCTGCATCCGACTGGAATCCTGCAGACGTTTCGCCAAAATCTCACTTGGCATCTTCAATGCTCGCGCTCCGAAAACACTTCGAATATATACTGTTCGAAGTGTTTTCGGAGCGCGAGCATTGAAGATGCAAAGTGAGATTTTGGCGAAACGTCTGCAGGATTCCAGTCGGAGTTCAACGAGCGAACGGATGATATCCCGGAATATAGTGTCATCACATTTTTCCATCCGTGAATATATATATATATATATATATATATATATATATATATATATATATATATATATATATATATATATATATATATATATATATATATATATATATATATATATATATATAAAGGTGTAACAAAAAACGTATTTTATAAATAACACAATAGTGAACTTGACAACAACAACACTGACACGGAGTATAAAAATCCTACAGAAAGTGCAAGATAGTATGCTAAGATTTTCACACATTTCAGTAAGCCAAGGATTTTGATTTAGTTTTTTTATTTTGTTGGAGTACTCGTCCACACTATAAAAACAATTTTGAATAAGATATTATTTTTGAACACCTCAAAAGCCATCTGGCAGCATATTGTACAAGTTAATGTTTAAAGAATTTTTGTCTGATGTAACAAGCATGTGTTTTGGAACTCTTATAAGATTTTTTTTCACGTGTTGGATAACTATGAGACATACCTTCAAATATATTAGTATGTTTGTTAATTTCTAGAAGACTGTGGAGAATACACATACAGGGCAGTGTCACTATCTCATATTTTTTAAATTATGGAGTACAGTATTTATTGTGCTTAGCCCCAGTAAGAATTCTTATAGCCCTTTTCTGCATCCCGAATATTTGAACAACATTGACAGAGTTTCCCCATAATATTATGCCATATGATATGTGGGAATGAAATAATGCATAATACACTGTCATTACTGGTCTAGGCTCTCGCTAATTTTTCTAAGGACGAATAAGCTGGAAGACAGTTTTCGCTTAAGAGATACAATATGATCTTTTCAGTCAAGTCTACTATGAAGTGTAATGCTAAGTAATTTTTCCGACTGCTGTTCGCCGTTGTTGTTTTTGTCTAGGAAAAAAAATATTTTTTAACTTTCGTCCGTATTCAATTTCAAATAATTGTTTTTTAACCAATTTTTCGCAATAATAATAAAACTGGTATCGTCCGCAAATAAAGCACATTTGACAGACCCCAAAAAAAGGCATAGATCAGCAACATACACTATAAAAAAATACAGGGCCGAGTACGGACCCTTGGGAGTCCCCACTGGAGACCTTCACCAAAGAGGATTTACGTCTCTCATTGCCCACAAACTGTTCCCTGTCTAGTAAATAAGATTATGTTAGCTTAAGGGTTCCGCCGCGAAATCCATACCTAAACAGCTTCTGGTCAAGAAGATCGTGCGAGATACGGTCGAAGACCTTGATAAGGTCACACATTGTCAACCCCACCCGATTTCCAGTCTCAAGACCCACCACCATATCTCCCACAACTTTATTTATCGCTTGTATGGTAGAGCGCCCCTCCCTAAATCCAAACTGCTCATTCCTAAAGCTATCCTGCTGCTCAAAAAAATTAACTATTTGTGGTGTTATAACCCTTTCAAATATCTTACCGATATGTGGCACTATGGATATGGGGCAATAGTCTCCGGGATTGTTAATATCACCGCTCTCAAAGATTGGAATAACTTTAGTAATTTTAGTTTATTTATTTTTTAGTTTAATTATTATCGTCGGAATTTGTGAAAAGTAAATAAAGAATAAAGTTAATCGAGTTTAAGGCTGCTGCTTAATAAAAACAATTAAGTACTTTTCTCTAGTATCGACGTCTATTCTACATATCGGTCAGCCTGTAGAAAATTGAAATATAATATATTAAATTGTTGAAAACATCGAAATACGACGAACGTGAACGCGCTTTTTCCGAAGAACTTTGTTTAAGTTCGTTTGTGCGTGAATTTATAAACAAATCCTTTCTGCGAATTAGACACGTGGTCTTTGTATCATTTAGTGTTGACGGTTTAGATAAATTGCCCAATATATTAGCAGCCAAGGTGTAGGCTTCATTGGCTATTGACCGAAATAATTCGTGTCCTGTAAGTGTTAATTTACTTATGCAGATAAACATCCGAAATTATTTCTATCCGGAGATTTTTCTAATTAAGAGCACCTGCGTGTCGCACATCAGTAAATAGTAAAAAATGTAATATCCGTGAAACATAAATAACGGGAATTAGCAATGATAGTGGCAATTGTTGTGTTGTCAACGAAATAAACATGAATGCGCAACAATTCGGACTTATTCGCGGACGATAATTGGAGTCTTTAAATAAAAATTGATAAAAATACTTTTGATTCATTTCGTTGACGTTATTTTTTCAAGATCTCTGAGAACAATCCGACAAAATTAGATGAAAATGAACAAATTGGTCCAGTATATATAGTAGGTACGATTTGCGATGGCACAGTCAGTCATAAAACCAAGAGAGAAGGGGCCTCAGTATTTTATCTGCATCCACTCGTATACTAAGAAGGGTAAAACTATCCAATTACCTATTCTATTTCTGTGCCCCGGTGTCGTACAGTCGATAGAGCTCAATTACCGGATAATTACAATAGTTTCCACTTCAAAATGGGGCCGTATTTTTGAAAAATTGC